CGTGAGCGGAGCGTAACGCAGTTTCTTGAAGTGTCACTCGGCAAACCAATTTATAAGACGTTGTCACGTCAAAAAAAGTACTTGGTAAAAAAATAGGTACTTGTTTTTTATTTAACAGACAATTAGGAATACCGCATTAGGAATGTACGCCTGTGTCGCGCGGGACTTCACAAACATACATGAAACGAACACAAAGCACACCCAGACTCAGAACAACAATTTGTGGATCACACGGATGTCGTATTTGATAGGAAGAGATCAGCAGCCCTATAAGTTGATTGCCATCGTTGACGTTCGTGTTGGTGTAGTAGTTGATTATCCCCACAGCTTAAAATATTGTCATGTGTAGTGCACGATCATTTGTTCTGTGTCTGGGTGTAATTTTTCCCCTGATTTTTTGTCACTGAAAAAGACAACTCCCGTGTTAGGAATATATATACTCGTATATCGTGTGTCGCGGGTTATTTTACAAACATACATGAAACGGACACAAAGGACACCCAGACTTAGAACAACAATTTGTGGATAACACAATGTGGTGTCCCATATGGGGATTGAACCCACAACACTCAACGCAGTAGGAAGCGGCGTGGTGATCTGAGAGGGTATTTAAAGGGCGGCAACTCACTTGCGACTATTAAGCTGCATGTGTTGATGGGCGGTGGTATTCGCTTTCCATCAGATGCCTCTCTGCTCGTTTATCCATATACCTTAAAAAAATCACTAAGTGACGAAATGACGTACTAATTCTGTTCATACTAAGGCTTTCTAGAATATCGTTCTGTTTATCTGAACATGAGATAGTTGTTATGAGGTAAAATATTTAGTTTATTATCAAAAGTAATAAACATTACTGATTATTAAACCATTTAATTTGGTACTAAACGATATTTTTTGACCACGGCTTCACCCGCGTGTTAGTCGGTTATGGCGGTAAAAATCTATAGTCTATATCTTTCCTTAAAAATCAAACTATCTTTAGAAATCAGTTCAACGGTTATTAATTTCCCATACAAATTCACATCACCCTTTTCATCCCCTTAAAGGATGATTCCTGGGATAAAATTTATCCTATGTCCTTTCCCGGGACTCGAAATAGCTTTCTACCAAATTTCATCGAAATCGGCTCAGCGTTATAAGCGTAAAGAGGTAACAGACCGACAGATAGACACACTCGCATTTATAATAGTATGGATTATTGCAGTAAAAAAAAATCCTGAGTGCGAGTCGGACTCGACCACCGAGCGTTCCGTATACTAATGTTTACTTTCCGATTTTTCTCTGCACGTGTAGTATAAGACGATGTTACTTGCCAAATTTCGTGGTTCTAGGTCAACGGAAAGTACCCTATAAATTTTGATTTCCTTGAGAGTGTCAAAATATGCATTTTTTAAGGCATAAACGCCCGTATCTTTTTCTTACGTTAAATTAGAAGTTTTATTTTTTCACAGCTTCAAGGGATGGTAGACCTGAGTATATGGTTTAAATTTCTCCTCGATATCTCCACGAGTTCCCGAGATCCGAGTCTTGGGATAAGGACAATCAGACAGACGGACAAAAAAGTAATTCTATAAAGGTTCTGTTTTTCCTTTTGAGGTACGGAACCCTAAAAAAATTATTTGATAAATAGTAATTTTTGAAAGTAGGTATCTAATGCATTAGACGATTAAAGACAAGATCAAAATCCAATGGAACAGAGTCCCTACCCTATATTATTTAATATTTTTTTTAAACTACACAAAATTGTCTACGCTGTTTTTAATATTTAATCTTTATTTATAGGATAGCATTCGAAATTCAATTTTTTTTAGTATGATATCTTATCAATTCGGTATGAATTTTTTATGGTTGTTTAATACACAGTGAGCGATACACGCTTATATACACATGTGTCCATGACTAAGTATCCGGCACGTGTATACTCCGACTGTGCAATGTACTCAATTTCAGTGTACGTGTAATAATATTAATGTGTAAAAATATCATTATTTCAAGTTTATATTCTATTCTATTGAGTAAGTAAGAAAGATTTTGGTTGAATAATCAAAAAGCAACAAAATAAAGCAAAATTAACAATCACATACAATTAACAATCAGATACAATGAGTGTAAAGTTAAACTAAAAACAGTAATTTAGACAGCCGATTTAAAATAAATATCGGCATTTAATATTTTTTTTGGGTATGATATCGTATTGACAATGCTTCTGTATCGATAAAAACATCGATATTTTTAAATCGATTTATAGAAAATTCGATATAATTATATTTGCGTCGCTAATATTTCTTATTAAAACAGTATCAAACATAATTTGGTTTTAGTTTTTAAAACACGCCGAAGATGAAACTCTTCGCCTTAAAACTAACAATAAGGAAATAATGTAATTGTTAACACGATAATTAAGAGAGGATGTAACAATTTACTAGACACAATATAAAATTTACTAGATACAAAACACAAAACTGTCAGCCTATTACTTCTAAATGAATCGTTGAACATGCCATCTTGTATTTGGTGCCAAAATCGTGTGCGTGAACTTTGCTCCGCCATATTGGTCTAGACACGCGAAATGCGCGCGAAGGTCGCCAATGTTTATATTTCGAACGGGTGCAAAGGTCCGAAGCGCTTTGACACTATGGAGTTTCCATGGCGACGAAAGAGATCGCAATACCTTAAGTATTCAACATTATCAGCGGGCGAGAAAGGAATAGCAATATTTAATTAAGCCAATGAATACCAGTAATAGTAATTTTTGTTTTTTTTTTCTGTGTGTTGTCTGTTTGAAATGAGACAACGCTATATAGAAGACTGGCTAATGGATATAGTTGAAATAAATTATTTAAATGTCTTGTAAAGTATTAAAGATATTAAAAAAAATCTTTCTTTTTGCTTTGAAGTTGTATTCTGAACTTTGCTTTGTCTAGGGTTAGTAATTTAAGAAGCGGGGTTGTTCTTTTCACGCTAGATAAATTGTGTTAGATAAATAAAGAAACGTGGATACTCACTTTGTGTTTGATGAATAAGCTCAGAGATTGGATCGTATCATAAATGGAGAAGTTAACACAGGCGTGTAAAAGTTTTCATCGAGCGATCATACCCCCCCCCCCCCCCCCCTCCTCGGTGACAACCCGTAGTATATGCCAAAATCCCCTACCTCCTCCTCAATTTTCACGTAGTGTTCTGAAATATTTGTTTTTCTAAATAGAAATTGAACAAAAATAAATTGGCTCATATTTTATTTTTATTATTTAATATAGCGCTTGCTGTATTTGAATATAGCTCGAAAAAGTGCGAGATTTCCCTGTAGGATACTTCTTGACGAAAACCATAACCTCTCTGTGACCAAGCGTGGTACTTCAAAGACCATCCCCCTGAACGGATCACGTAGCATGGGCAGGTTTCCTCAAAAGTAAATATCATTCTTCTATATAATTCTTGTTCTGGTTCTATATAATTCTTGTTCGTGCGTGTGTATGTGATCGAACTCCTAAACGACTGGACCGATTTTGATGATTCTTTGGTGTGTGTTCAAGTGGATCCGAGAATGGTCTGTCGGGACAGCTTACTAGATGTATAAATTAAAATACGTATGTTTACTTCGTGTATACATCATCATCATCAACAGCCTTCAATAGTCCACTGCTGGACATAGGTCTCTCTTTAGGTTTTGGCCCACTATACCACGCTGGCCAGACGGGTGGGTATAGGGTTTGTTTCAAGCTTTCCTTCTCTTTGCAGTGCTGTTGTCCCTTAGTCGGCTCTTACGGTAACGGTAACAGTATTCAATAGTTTTTGCTTCCATCTCAAAAAATGTTTTTTGTTAAACCATAAAATAAATTATTTTGTTTGTTGTTCAAAAATGCCCAATGAGCCCAAAGAAGTTTTCACTTCAAAAATGGGATTTGGATAGCTGGAATTTACAGACCCCTAACTTGTAGGATAATCAAAACAGGACTGAGTAATGGTTTTCTGAACCATTGGCAGAGAAAATGGTTACGCATTGTAGTGTAAAATTACTCTGAGGGTCTGTTCATTGGTATCTAAGTAGAACACAATGAGGGGTGAAATGAGGATCTGGGTTAGATAGCGATTAAATTGTTTCAAGTTCAGTGGCATGTTGAAATGTAATCAGTGGTTCTCAAACTTTTTCTTCGTAGACCATTTGCAAAATTTTGTTTACTCATTTTTCTTTACCAACGAAATACCAAATTTCCAAACTTTATTTATTCTTTGACTTTTACTTATGGAAGGTAAGAAAGAAAGAATATACGTTTATGGTATGAAAATGGCAGGCAGACGGTCAACCAGCTTTAAATAGCCTGCAGTATTAAAGAAAACATTCAAATTTTTACATATTGCGCCGATATAAAACAAAGTTAGTAGAAAAAAGTGATAATAGGTAAGATTTTACAGAGAATATGAACAGGCCTAGGATGAAACATAAGGCGGTTATTTCTAAATCATCATCATCAACAGTCTTTAATAGTCCACTGCTGGACATAAGCCTCTCCTTACAAAGGAGGTTTTGGCCTACTATATCACGCTGGCCAGACGGGTTGGTATAGGGTTTGTGTCAAGTTTTCCTTCTCTCTGCAGTGCTTTTGTTCTGCGTAGTTTTTTCCCTTAGTTGGCTCTTACGACACCCACGGTATGAATAGGGGTGGTGACACTCTGTATTCTTAATCCGTCACACGGATTTCTAAAATGACAAACAAATTACGATGAATACGGCAATTTTTAAATAAAAGTCTTACCGTAGCATTAAGACTTGTATCGTGAAATATACTCCTTTACAAAGGACGTCTGTCAAATTTTTTGGAGTCTCATGCCAAACACAGTATTTTGCCAGGGAAAGCCATGATAGGAAGATCAATTCCCATCTTAGCCGTGTGTACTAAAGATCCTGCTAGCGCTGAAAAAAATCTGAGTAGTTTTTTCCGAGCTGCCATACTTTTTCTGATCAAATACAAAAGAAATTAATATCTTCTATTTTGTTCCAGGTCTAAATGCGTGCGAAAGGAAATCCTTCTTGTTCCTGCGAAAGGAGCTGCCAGTCAGGTAACTATCTATAAAACCTACTGAAATATGTGTTTGGCAAATCCAAATAATATTAACCGTAAGGTACATCCACTAGAGCAGGGATTCCCAAAGTGGTCGATATCGACTCCTCGAGTTCGAAATCGGTTTCCCCGTTCTGTTATATCAATTATTGGTTTCTCGGCATTATTAATTGGAATTCCGGTATTAACAAAAATTGATTTTGGGGGTCGACGAGGTCTAAAAATCGACCCCTATTAATTAACACAAGTTCCTATTTGGAACTTTCAAGATGCGAATACAACTGTTACATGTACCAACTTGTTATGAGAATGACTAATATTTTAGTAGGAAGTAAGATTCTTGTACTTTAAAAAAAACTAGAAACTCGATAGGTATGCAGTAATTTGCTATGGCCTGAGGTATCAGTTCATTTTAGAAGAGAGATCTCTTGCCCAAAACAGATTACGAATCCCTACATTAGAGTGTACCGAGGCTATGCACTTGGCTTAATATTGCCAAAAGTTGGATTTGTCCATTTCCAAAATAGTGACAGAATCGTCGGCAAGATTTTGACCACATTCTAAAGTACATACACTCGTTATTTACCCCACGGGATATTCCACAAGGAGTCTAAAATCCAAATTCACAATGAGTGCTGGGAATTAAATAAAAAAAGGTTTACCATCGCTCGAACATTATCTTTATAAACCACCATAGTGGTAAAAGAGGCTTATTTTGTTTTAGATATTATTTCCTTTTATCTTCTATCAAAATTCTACAGCTCCCTCCTTCCTCTTGCCCTTGTGTCAATTGATATAACCATGGATATCCTCATTACATCCTTCCGCATAAAAGTCACATTGCGGAAAAATACGCAGAAAATAAATAGGTATGTTTATTGGTAAGGATGCAATTACTTAATGCAACAATAAGATTATTCGATTGTTCTTTGATTTTGGAAATGATCTGCCAGTTTGCCTCCCATATTCCATACTATAATCTATATCCTTGCCATCATCATCATTCATCCAGATCCAGTCAACCGTTCTGGCGTGATTGAGTTAGAAATATACATACAAAATTTCGTACTTTTCTTATTCTTGTTAAAAAAAGACAACTCCCGTACTAGGAATATATCCTGTGTCGTGCAGGACTTCACAAACATGCATGAAACGGACACAAAGGACACTCAGACTCAAAACAACAATTTGTTAATCACGCAAAGTGTTGTTACATGTGGGGATATAACTCCTACCACTCACCGCTCTCCCAGATCTAGGGACGGCAACGCACCCTAACGGACTGTCAGATAATTAAGCTTTCCGACCAATTTCCTATATTTCACGGGCAACAGGCAGGTCACAAGTGCGTTGCCGCCCTTGGAGTCTCTCGCTCGAGTCAGCGGGAGGGGGGATTTGGGCTCCGGTAACCTCACTCACTCAGTGAAAGGCAACGAAAGAATTGATTAACACCGGTTTTCTGTGAGGTCGTGGTATCACTTCGGTCGAGCCGGCCCATTTGTGCCGAAGCATGGCTCTCCCACGGTAAGTAGGTTTGGTAGGTAGGTCTCCCAGGTACAACAGCTTTTTAAAAAGTCTCAAAAATCTTGAGATGTAGAGAATCTGAAACAACCTGACATGCAGGATTGGCGAGTTTCATGTATTTTGACATAATATCTACTCCTCGCAATAAACATAAATGCCCACTATTTATAATAGTAGTAAGATAACATTAGTTATTGATGTTTTTAAGAGGATATTTTAGTTTTTGATTTTTCCTTAAACATTAAGACCTTGCTTTGTGCTAAATTTCAATGTTTCTTGTCACTAGGAAGTGTAGGCGTTGATAAGCGAAAATGCGAATATCAAATACGTGTCATAAGATATTTTAATTGTATTTACATGAAACTTGCATTAAATATAAAGCCAAGCACACACTGTAAGACTTAGAAATACAATTCTTGAACAGAAATTATTTTTTAACTTTTTTTTATTTTAATTAAAACTTTCTACGTTCATTTAAATTGCACATGGCGGACTCAATGTCACATAAAATTTATCTACCAGTCAACCTTTGGAAGATTCAGTGACATTTCAAGTGTATTAAAACAAATTAATTTGAGAATTTTATCCATACTAGTCCATACTAACATTATAAATTCGAGAGTGTGTCTATCTGTCTGTTACCTCTTCACGCTTAAACCGTTGAACCGATTTAAATGAAACTTTGTATAGAGATAGTTTGAGTTCTGAGAAAGGACATAGGATAGTTTTTATCTCAGAAATCGTCTTTCAAGGGGGTGAAAGGGGGGGTGGAATTTTGAATGGGGAATTAATAACCGCAGAACCCAGTTAGTTAGAATTGAGATAGTTTGATTTTTGAGGAAGGATATAGGTTACTATTTACCGTAAAATCTAGTAACTATGTATGTATACATACAAATGCACCAATATACACATACATACAAATAAATATACGTATACTAATAAATACATTTAAACTATTCAAATTACATCTTCACCCAAAGGAGTAGAGTCATAAAAACCCGATAATATTGAGGTGGCACTGGAATCTACGTTTGATTAACTGTTTATCCTTTAATCCAACTTATCATTAAGCATTTTTCAGTGCCAATAACGATACAATACTAATACAAATCTTGACCTACTGATCTAATTTACTATCTCCAATATCATAAGTTTATATCGATCGAGATAATAATCCCCCCCCCTCTTAGTATGATATCCTTATCTAGAAGCCGGGTGACACTCTCCAAGGTCACAAATTGACCTTCTTTAATAAGCTATTTGACTGACAAGTCAAATCTTTATTAAACGTCAAAACAACGTTTTTATACAACACATACAAACACAAATAATTTTCTTTTAAGGGTTCCGTACCTCAACAGGAAAAAAGCGCAACCTTTATAGGATCACTTTGTTGTCCGTCTGTCTGTCTGTCTGTCAAGACCTTTTAATTCGGGAACGCGTGGAGGTAGGGTGTTGAAATTAAAACCATATATTCAGGTCTACGGTCCCTCGAAGCTGTAAAATAATCATACGGAATCAAAATTTATAGGGTACTTCCTACTAAATTTGGCAAGTAACATCGTCTTACTACAAGTACAGGGAAAAATCTCTGAATAATTTATAATATGTACTTAAAAATCTGTACTTAGCCTCGGTGGACGAGTCCGACTCGCACTTGCCCGAATTTTAATAAAAATACTAGGAATATACCCTTTTTTTTTTTTCGTTTTTTTCGGTGGCATGTCGGACTCGAACCGACTAAAACCGCACGCCGTCTCGGGTACTAATAGCCGGGGAACCAGGTATACCCTAGAAAGGAAGTCCCTGGTGCCCCGACAAAACTAGGAATATACCCTGTGTACCCGGGGGACTTTCCAAACATTCAAGAGACAGACACAAAGAACATCTAGACTCAGAACAACAATTTGTGTGGTCGAACCCACAATACTCAGCAACCGTAGGAAGCGGCGAGGTGAACGCTTTGTGTGGAATAACAAGCTGTGACGTCATTACTTGTTATCATCAAATCATGTGTTTTTAATGTTTGTGTTTGGCTGTTATCTAGTTGCGTTGAGTTTTATTGTGCTAAGACTTGTACACACATAATTTCATCAGAATTATTACATAATTAATTTTAAGTCACGTTCACACATAGTTTATTCTCCCTCTCTCACTGTTGTTCAGCTGTTTATCCACACGATGATGGAGTCAGATTTCCTCCACTCCTCGGCGTTCTACCCTCCTTTCCTCGGTGGTGCAGTGCTGATCTCGGGTAGGACCAAATGATTGTATGATCTGTAAAAATTTGTTTCGGAGTTTGTATGTTTTCTATCTATACTAATATTATAAAGCTGAAGAATTTGTTTGTTTGTTTGTTTGTTTGTTTGTTTGAACGCGCTAATCTCAGGAACTACTGGTCCGATTTGAAAAATTCTTTCAGTGTTAGATAGCCCATTTATCGAGGAAGGCTATAGGCTATATATCATCACGCTAAGACCAATAGGAGCGGAGCACCAATGAAGAATGTTTCAAAAACGGAGAAAATTTATTACTATTGAGAGACGCAGACGAAGTTGCGCGGGTCAGCTAGTGTATAATATGTGTGTGTTTACAAAAAAAAGGTATATAAGTATTCTATCAGTCAATCTAGCTTTCATAGTACAAGCTCTGCTTAGTTTGAAACTAGATGGCGTTGTGTCAATGTCCGAAGATATTTTTATAAATTTTATTGTCCTTGTGGTGTACCTTGTCCGTGTGGTGACGGATCAAGAATACGGAGTGTAACTACCCCTATCCATCCCATGGGTATCGTAAGAGCCGACTAGCCGAGCCGCCGAACAAACTAGCACTGCTCAGAAAAGAAACTTGAAAAAAACCGTATACCAACCCGTCTGGCCAGCGTGGTATAGTAGGCCAAAACCTCATTTATAAGAACGGGCCTATGTTCCCAGTAGTGGACTATTAAAGCTGTTGATGATGATGATATATTTTATTATTTTCAGTAAAGTTCTAATAAAATTGTATAAAATCCTTGTTTACTGTGACAAATACGTTCAAGAGGTATCAGTGGCATTCTCGCTCACAGATAAGCTACTATTATTATCAAAGACAACTGTTTACTATTTATAAATAGTTTAACATTTATAAATTGAAATTCTTTTCTTTAAAGTATTTTTCTTGTTATAACAGCCATTAGAGAATACGTCATGAACTCACGACACTGCCACAAGTGTCAGCGGTTATTGTCCTATTAGAATGAGCGATTTTATGAGGATTTTCTTTTCTTAAAGTTAGACATGAAACTACTGCTTTTAAATCATAATCATATGATGCAATTATTGGTTTAAGTCACTGCGATTTCACCTGTACTTGTGATTTGATCATAGACATAGAAAAATGCCATCAAAATCAAACAAAATATTTTATATCAAAGATTACAATTTTTATTATATTTAGACCTTTCACAAGTCTGGCGCTAGCGTAATAATAATAAATTAGTCACAAGTGTGATTATATGATTTATAAATTATATGATTTATCACAGGTGATTGTAATTTTATTCCATTCGTACTTAGTTATATTCTTGTCATGATCCAGTACAATACTTCTATACCAATATTATAAAGAGGTAAAAATTCTTTTAGTTTTAGATAGATGTTTTATCTAGAAAGGACATAGGCCGACCAAAAGGAGCCTAGTATCAATAAAAATGGTGCGAAAATAGGGAAAAATTATCACATCAAGAGCCTTTAATAGTCCACTGCTGGACATAAGCCTCTCCTTAGAAAGGAGGTTTTGGCCTACTATACCACGCTGGCCATACGGGTTGATATAGGGTATGTGTCGGGTGCGGGCAGGAGCTAGGAGGGGTCCGGATGTCTTAATAACAGCTGTTCCCGGATCCCTCCTATTACAGGCGCAGAGTGGCACACCGTGTGGTTTTAGTCGGGCCGAGTCCGACACACCACCCCGCCGCAAACCCCGGTGGGGTGACGGTCCGAGGGGATTTCCACACGTAAAAAAAAAAAAAGAAAGGGTATGTGTCGGGTTTTCCTTCTCTCTGAAGTGCTGTTGTTCTGAGTAGTTTTCTCCATCTCTCTCGAGATGAATAGGGGTGGTGACACTCTGTATTCTTAATCCGTCACCACACAGACCACAGTATTATTTATTTATTATTCATAGTAAAAAATACATTAACAGTTGGTTACAAAGATTATTATTTATTACATAGGCAAACCTATCTTGTAAATGTTTTATGTGTTGTCTTCAACATACATTGCTCAGGTTAGAAATTTATGACATATGTGTAAATATTTCGCAAATAGAAGTAGGTTTTTTCCAAATCCAACCGTACTATTTGAACAGCTGATTAGGACTCCTGAAATGCATTTTTCTTACTTGAAAGGTAGAAAAGGAGCGGTCTGTCTGTCTGAAGAAAAATCCGGAAGTCATTAATTTGTTGTCCTGTCAAATAAATACGTTTTTTGTAATTACAAACTTATATATTACTGTTGGATAATTTACTGGAAGCAGGTAGTGTCTGAAGCGTAGCTTATTTATAATTACTATGGAATTCTAAGTTTTAAACTTTCGCGTTCCATGATAATTAATATTATTTTAACGGGAATTAACGCGATCTCTTATTTAGGGTATTACATACCTCTGGTTTGCCTGACGTTTCGACCAGGTTGCACCGGCCGTGGTCACAGGCTGACTCTCAGTCTGTCTCAGTCAGCCTGCGTTAATTCCCGTTAAAATAATATTAATTACTATGGAATTGTTAATTTAAATTACACGCCTTCTAATGTAATTTACTAGTCTATAAGACTGTGTCTCTGGCTACTCTATACTGTATGGTATATTCTCTCTCTATTCCGTGACTCTACGAGTAAAGTACATAATATTGTTAATTACGTTATATAAACGTTTATTCCTATAAAATTAACATCCACTTATTTAAAATAATCAACAATTACAAAGTTGAGTAAGTTTCAGAAACAAAATGGCCGTCATTTTGGAAAGTTGATTAGATAAATTACCTACAATTTTTTTACGTGTGGAAACCACTCGAACCGCACTCCACCAAGGCAAGCGATACCAACTAAAACCACACGATTTGCCACTCTGCTCCTAAAATAGAAGGGATCCCGGTACAGCTGTTATTAAGACATCCGGAATACAAATTTTGCCTTAACATTAGCTCGTTTTTTTTCTACTTCATATTAAAGATTAAACCCGCTCCCCGCCCCGCTCATCACCATGCCTTACACATGCAATATGTTGACACATTGTATAGGCCACCAAGGTCTTGACGTGTCACTCGGTGACTTCGTAATCAACGGTAATTTACGTAACCATATTTGTTGACATGGGTAGTCATCCGCAAATATTATCAAATAGTACACAAGCCTAACATATCCGGTAGTTTATAAGGGTCACCTGACGGAAAGTGACTACCGCCGCCCACGAACAACTCACACAATACGCGATAGCCCATTCTAAAGTGTTTTTAACCCCCAACGGTTAACGAGGGGTGTTATAAGTTTAACCTGTGTATGTGTCTATGCCATCATAGCTCCCGAACGGATGGACCAATTTCGATGCGGCTTTTGTTGTTCGAAAGCCGATGTGATCGAGATAGTTATTTGTTATACATTTTGAAGATCATCAGCTCACTTCCTAGGTGATGAAGGGATGTAACTAAAATCAACAGGTCCGATTGATCTGAAATTTGGTATACTGTTATTTTGATGGTATTCAACGACATGGTAACCCGGGATTTGCTGCTGCATCAAGTAGTCTGCGGGATAGCCAACTCCTCAAAAAAATACAGCATATACACAATGTTTGGGCTTATTAGGACAATCTCAATGAGTAGTTGTTGTTTTTTTTGTGTCGGAGGTTTTTAATGATGCTGTGATTAAGAGGTGAATCAGGGATTTTTTCCTTTCTCAGCAGTAACAGACTAATATATGTATGTAGGATTGTAGGTATTAGGTATATATATGTTATATATAGTTAATATTGTAAGGTAATATATAAACTAATGTTATATTATTTACATGATATTTGGTAATTTTGTTCATATTTCTATTTCTGTATAAATTAAGTTGTATATTTCTATTTTCTTAAATTTATCTGAACACAACGATTTTTAGATCCTTGCTTTTACTGTAACATATACACGTTTGGTCATGATATCTATACAAATAAATAGAATTGGAGTGTCTGTTTGTAATATTATAATAACCGCTTTTTACTAAATGCATATGTATGTTTACACGGTACATATGCCAAAATAACATTTTTTACAATTTTTGTCTGTCTGTCTGTTTGTTCCGGGTAATCTCTGGAACGGCTGGACTGATTTCGACGGGACTTTCAGTGGCAGATAGCTGATGACATAAGGAGTAACTTAGGCTACTTTTTTTTAGACTAGCTTCGCCCCGCGGCGTTGCCCGCGGTTATAACAACAAACACGGGTAACACCTCGGGTCTCAGCTAGTAATATATATAAGGCCCACGTCTGTACGCAGGGGTTTATTTGAAAGGACATAATTTGATGAACAAACATACAATAGGCTGTCAAATCTAATTAGGGGCATGCCAATACTACATGTCTCTTATAGGAGGACCCCCTCTTGAAAATACCACTTTTGGTCACAGGGACGGGGTAAGGGGGTCGAGCGTTTAGGTTAGTTAGTTATTCATCAAATATGACTACGGGAAGGAGGGGTTCTTGGCATATACTGTATTGAGAATCTCCTCCCTTTTGTTAAGTCAGTTAAAAAGGTGTTCGGCTGCTTATAAGATCACACACTCAATTGTTTTTGGAAGACTTCAAAATGTCTTTCGTTCCTATTGCTAGTGCAGGAGTAAGACAACTCCTGCACTTGGAATATTATGCTTTTACAACAATCCTTTACAAAGAATACCCAGACTCAGAACAACTATTTATAGATCACACAAAGTTGTTCCATGTGAGGATCGAGCCCACAACACTCAGCGCCGTAGAAGTACGCCATCCTTACAGTTAATTTAATATTTGTCTCTTTCTTTTTTACAGGCTAGCGAACATCATGAAAGAGATAGCATTGTTACCAGAGAATCTGCTACGGATGCCTTCAGTCGGCCTGGTGAACCAGTGGTACGAAAGATCCTTTGAAGAGATCATTCAGTTCGAACAGAGTGAACCTGACCCTGCTGTGCTGAGTCAGTAAGTATTAGTCTTTAAGCAAGTCCTAATGATATTTCGTAACAAATCCCAGAATTCTACGCAATCCTTGTATCCTATATGTTTTTGCGTAAAGAGTACATTTAGACGAAATTAATTTTTACGAGTAGACTAATAAAATTTCATCTCAACATGACCTTTTCTTTTGTAACGCGGGGAATGATTTTGTGCGGGCGTTTTTGAGGGTGTGTGTGGTCAGAACTGGTCTACCCACTAAACCCCGCGGCGGCCTATTTCGGCAGACGGGAGGAGCTCCAGGAACGCATCGGCGGCTTCCACAATGCCATACTAACAGTAAAAGCGGGGGCCCTAGGCAGTTGCCTACTCTGCCTAGTGGTTAATCCGGCCCTGTCTGTAATCTGCTAGTCTTAGTAATACTTACTTTAGTCTTTGACTACAAAAATACCTTTTATGTCTGTTGCGAGATCGAAAGTTGATCGAAACTGAATTGTGACTGAACCTCTATTACGAGAATAGGCCTCCTAATCTTTATGAATTCCTTCAATTGCCTTATGGTTACTTGGAAACGTGTGCTGCAAACTAGTCAAAATTACAAAAATATTTGTACCATTCTTTGATATATAATCCGAGGTGATTAAGATACAATACTAAGATCGTGTAACGTCCAAAAGATGACAAATTCACACGATTATAAAATATTTAAATAACAAGTAAAACCGTGTGGTGACGGATTAGGAATACAGAGTGTCACCACCCCTATTCATCCCGTGGGTGTCGTAAGAGACGACTAATAGAGCAAAATACGCAGGACAACAGCACTGCAGAGAGAAGGAAAACTTGACACAAACCCTATACCAACCCGTCTGGCCAGCGTGGTGTAGTAGGCCAAAACCTCCTTTCTAAGGAGAGACCTATGTCCAGCAGTGGACTTGATGATGATGATGATGATGAAGTAAAACTGATATCCTCTCGAAGAGATTTAAGCTATAACCAGATTTCCAAATAACGAAGTTAAATTTAATCGTGGTGAAATCTACTTAGAGGCGACTTAATCTTACTTTCATAAATTACGTTACACGAATTTCATGCTTTTTGGTACCTCCACGCTTACGTCACAGCTGGTCACATTTGCGAGTCTTAGGAAATGTCGGCTTCATCTATCTGTAAAGTCCGACTTGTAAAAATATCTGAAAATATTTACTTACAGAAATATATATCATTTATCACTTGCAAGATCTTTTTTTTTGTGATGTCACGTATCTACAATTTTACATCTAGAAATGATTAAATTGAAACAGCATTTCCAAAATTAGTTTTATTTCTATTTAAATATTTTTTAATAATTTCAACATTAAATAAACCATATTAAGAAATTAATAAAATAAAATATAGCTGCTGCCCTAGACACTGCAACTCAAGTCACAAGTTCGCTGTTACTCTTTGACAACTCGGCACTAAGAATATATCCTGTGTCGCGGGGGACTTTACAAACATACATGAAACGGACACCAAGAACACTTAGACTCGGAACGACAATTTGTGGATCACACAAAGTGTTGTGGCTCTGTGAGGTCGTGGTATCAGTCTGAACAAGTCTGCCCATTTATGCCGAAGCATGGCACTTCCACGACTAGAGTATTTTAAGGCCCCGTCCGCGCAGCGATATTTTACCGCGCGGTATTTTTTTTCGCAAAATTCTGTGACACATGGGATCTACGAGTATATAGGACTATCCGTAATCGTGGAAAAAACGCGCGGTAAAGGTGCGCTGTGCGGACTTGCCTTAATACGTACTAATTATCACGCAATGTTTTTTTTTTCTCTCTCTATTAACTCATCATCATCATCATCATCAACAGCCTTTAATAGTCCACTGCTGGACATAGGCCTCTCCTTAGAAAGGAGGTTTTGGCCTACTATACCACGCTGGCCAGACGGGTTGGTATAGGGTTTGTGTCAAGTTTTCCTTCTCTCTGCAGTGCTGTTGCCCTGCGTAGTTTGCTCCCTTAGTCGCCTCTTACGACACCCACGGGATGAATAGGGGTGGTGACACTCTGTATTCTTAGTCCGTCACCACCGTCTATTAACTCATTGTCAATTTTTTATATACTTATAAACAGTAACAGGTTACGACTATTTAAGTATTTTAGTCCAGTGCAAACAGAACTAACATGCTAGCACCGCATGCATTGATATCTTATTGTACTAAGAGAAACATTATTTTTGTAAGTAGTGAATCACATAAAGTGACTAGATATTATATAAATTAAACTAAAAATACATATGTTTCTTTAAAAAGACAACTTCCGCATTAATAATGTATCCTGTGGCGCTGGCTGTCGTATTAAAAACTAGCTGAGAACCGTGTTAGCTGCGTTTGTTGTTATAACCGCGGGCAACGCCGCGGGGCGAAGATAGTCTAAAAAAAGTAGCCTAAGTTACTCCTTATGTCATCAGCTATCTGCCAGTGAAAGTCCCGTCGAAATCGGTCCAGCCGTTCCAGAGATTACCCGGAACAAACAGACAGACAGACAGACAAAAATTGTAAAAAAATGTTATTTTGGCATATGTACCGTGTAAACATACATATGCATTTAGTAAAAAGCGGTTATTTTAATATTACAAACAGACACTCCAATTTTATTTTTATAGATGTCGCAAAATAACGGGGAAAACTTATACCTTTTGCGAGAGTCCCCGTGAGAGTCTCCGTCTGAGTTGCGCGCAAATAAATAAAATTGGAGTGTCTGTTTGTAATATTATAATAACCGCTTTTTACTAAATGCATATGTATGTTTACACGGACGGTACATATGCTGAAATAACATTTTTTACAATTTTTGTCTGTCTGTCTGTCTGTCTGTTTGTTCCGGGTAATCTCTGGAACGGCTGGACTGATTTCGACGGGACTTTCACTAGCAGATAGCTGATGACATAAGGAGTAACTTAGGCTACTTTTTTTTAGACTAGCTTCGCCCCGCGGCGTTGCCCGCGGTTATAACAACAAACGCGGGTAACACCGCGGGTGTCAGCTAGTATCACATAAGTATGCTCTGAATGTTGTCAGTTCCTGTACTGCCAACACGTGTTACATTCATGCAATGGCGGCAAGCCAATTCATATATGAATATTATATTTTAGGAAATTGTGTAAGTACTCATTACTTGGTAACACTTCGGATGCGCTGACGTCACTTGCATCCTACACTTTAATTAGACTACATTTACAGAGAAAATGTAAATCTATGTAATAATACGCTAAGAAGCTTTTTTTGTACTCATTTTCAAGCAAATATGGCGCAAGGAAACATGTCATATTAATTCAGAATACGTTACCTTCAAGAGCGTAATCCTTCCTAAAAAGCCGGTAACGCGTTTGTGACTCCTGAGTTGCAGACGTGACTTGAAGTGACGGGCGGCGAGATCACGGCCTCGCGGAAAACCCCTCTGCCCTCTATATCTGGAGGGAAGGGGAGGTTGCGTCCGGTAACCTCACTCACTTAGTAAAGAATAACGAAAGAATTGATTAACACCGATTTTCTGTGAGGCCGTGGAATCACTCCGGTCGAGCTGGCCGATATGGGCCGAAGCATCGGTCTCCCACGGTTATAGAGATTTAGAATCTTAAAAGAATTCTCTTCAAAACACTGTTTAAATAACTAGTTATAGCAGGGATTCCTAAAGGGGTCGAAATCGATTTCCCAGATAAACGAAAACTGATTTTGGGGATCGACGTGGTCTAAAAATAGACCCTCATAAATTTACAAAAGTTCTTTTTTAAAACTCCCGAGATTGGATGAGATACTGTATTACTTGTGTAACGTGTACCAACATGTGTTAAGAAAGAATAACTAATATTTTATTAGGAAGTATCACTATTATACTTTTAAAATTATAGTAGTTTAAGTGGTCGCCGCGCCGCTTACTACTACGCTGAGTGTTGTGGGTCCGATCCGCACATAGGACGACACTTTGTGTGATCCAAAAATTGTTGTTCTGAGTCTGGGTGTTCACAAAACCTCAACAAGTCGATAAGCATGCAATTCGGCTTTGGGAGTCTGAGTTTTTTTTTTTTTTTTTTTTTATTGTCTAATATAAAATTCACACATGCATTTTATCCTTCATATACCACACAAACCATCAAGAGTTTATCCGTGGTATACCAGACACATCTCGGTTACAATTTAATTACATATGTATATTTATAAAGTTGCGTATCAGCTAGACAGTAAATATTTTATGTAAACAGTTTTACAATTTTTTTTATTCATCTTGCTACAGGTTTCGATAGGTATGTTGTTCATTATACGGGGCAGCATGTGTTCCCACGTCCGCGTCCCATATACATTAGTATGCTTAGGTATGACAAGTGACGTAGTGACTCCAATCTTATATTTTCCTTCAATTTAGCAAGGTTGTGGTATTCCTCATCTAGTACACATACGCTCACTTTATCGAAAACATTTAATATTTGACAGTGTTTAAATAGGCCACATTCGTCTTCCTTAAATTGTAGTTTAGTTTTTCTAGGTACTATTGTTTTTAAGATGCTTAATTGTATGTTATAAATGTTTTTGAGGTAGGTCTTGTATGTGCGCCCATAGCTACCTAGTCCGTAGCCAATCACGGAGTCGGCAAGTGCGAGGTACATGGTTCTAAGTGTTTTGTAAGATAATTTATATTTAAGTACATATAATTTGGATTGAAAGGATCTTAATTTACTACTAGATATCAGTTCATTTTATAATAGATAAACGGTATCTGGCCCAAAATAGTTTGGGTATCCCTGAGTTATAAGATGTCGCAATACAGAACACATAATTACTTGCAAGGTTTTTTGTTATTGTACAATTGTGTAGTCCTGAGGTCAGGGTTTTAATTCAGCTGAATATTTACATTCAATTGTGTAGTTAATTACAAGAGGGGCTTGTGGCTAAGTGGTATCCGAGGTGGTTAATACATTGTAAAGTTAAGCAATCCTAGCCAGGTCAGTCCGTGGATGGGTGACCGTTAAGACCCGTTTAAGACACGTTAAAGCGTCGGTCCCGGTTGTCATACGAATACCGGGTAGTTGGTGCCATTAAAAGTCCGATAACAGTCGTTCTACAGAACTTCGATATCGCCTAGTACTTGGGTTCTGGAGGTCAGATTGCAGACCCCAACCTAGTTTGGGAAAAAAACTCAGAGGAGGAAGAGTGTAGTTATTTTTATGGGGCCGACTACATTACGTATACAGTAAAAATGTCCTCCAAGTAGGTTTTGTTCATAGTATTGTGGCGAAAACAAAAACATACTACAGCGCCATCTAACAAAGGTACACCGAACTACTGATCCTGTATCGCGATATAAATAGTTCTCACTCCGATTAGCAAATATACCACTTTTTAACCGCGGCCTACCAGGCATGATTACCTTGCCTGGCCCTTTCCTCTTGAGAGTATAAGGACCAAAGTTACTCTTTACACAAACGCATGAGTAAATTGATCTCTCACTGTGAGGCAATAAAGTTCTAAGTTTATTCGCGTCTTATCATACAACCGGGTGGTCGCCTGGTGGTCTAAATCCTACCATAATTCTTTAGGTTATATTTTCTTAGTTTATTTTATTGGCCAGTATTACTTGAACTATTATTGCATAGACTCAAGTATGGTTCTGTTGACATATTATATACTGGAAACGTTAACTCCCCCTATATCATAATAAAACCATTACACCCTGACAAAGGACAAATGATCGTGTAATTATTTCCGGCTTAGCAGTGAGGGTCACGAACCAAGAATTCCGTCATAAATTGTTTCCACCCCCTGGTGGGTCTTTTTAACGATGATCATTTTTTTTACAGGTTTTGCGAACGCGTAGCTCACATTCGCAACCGCCATGCTGACGTAGTCCAAACCATGGCTCAGGGGGTTCTTGAACTTAAGGAGTCACATGAAGTGGATCCTGGCACCGAGAACTCGATACAGTATTTCTTGGACAGATTCTACATGAGCAGAATTTCGATCAGGATGTTGATAAACCAACATAGTAAGTAATAAATAACTTAACACACCTTACACGAGGATATCTAATAAGAAACCAGGCAGAGCCGCTGCCTTGGTAACCAGACTACTGATAAACATACTTAAATATTTCTAAATATTTAGAATACTTTCATAGTGACTGACGACTGGATGGTGTAGTGGTTTGTGTAACGGACTGCTATTCCAAAGGCCGCGGGTTCAATTCCCGCTCAGGTCAAACATTTGTGTGCATGAACATTTGATGTTTGATTTGGTCTGGGTGTTTCTATGTATAATATGTATGTATTTACAAAAAAAAAAAAAAAGTATATATGTATTTATATCAGTTGTCTAGTAGCCATAGTACAAGCTCTGCTTAGTTTGGGACTAGATGGCGTTGTGTGTATGTGGTAGAATATATTAATATATTATTATTATATTATAGTATAAAATGAAGTCGCTTGGACCCTTTATTGTACGCTTAGATCTTTCATACTACGCAACGGCTTTTAATGCGGTTCTCCCTTTCTTCCATCTCCTCTTGAATTGCTCTCACCAAAAGAGAGAGGGATTTAAGAGGAAGGTTTATATTAGACTTGCAACGAATATTCGGTTACTATTCGGTATTCGGCCTATTCGGCTGCTTTTATTATATTCGGCCGAATACCGAATATCTACATATTATTCGGCCGAATACCGAATACTTAAATAATATATTTTGTCATTGAGAAATAATTGGTAAAATGAAAAATTAAAATCGATTGATTACATATATATTCATATTTTCATTTCTGTTATAATCATTTAAGTAGTCATTGGTGCATAACATAGCTACATAATCATCTTCTGCATAGGAAAAATGGAGGATTCTATGTATTTGAATTATTGTGGTAATCAACATTTAGAAGGGTAAGGTTCTCATTTCTTTTATAATCATTTATTAAGTAGTCATTGGTACATAAAACAGGTACATAATTTAATTCACGTCTGTACAAGTTTTTGGCGCTAAAATCCAGCCGAATACTTTTGCCTAATATTCGGCTATTCGGTCAGGGGCCTCGCCGAATATTCGGTATTCGGTATACTGCCGAATATACTATTCGTTGCAAGTCTAGTTTATATGTATAATGCATCCATATTATAATAGAGAAAATCCGAAAACTTCAATAATTTCAGTGCGAAGCCATGGGGGGTGTTAGTTTTAGATAAACTACACCCAGACACATATCCGTGTAGTGACGGATTAAGAATACGGAATGTCACTACCCCAATTCATCCCGTGGGTGTCGTAAGAGGCGACTAAGGGCGCAAAACAACGCAGGTCACCAGCACTGCAAAAAGAAGGAAAACTTGATACAAACACTATACCAACCCGTCTGGCCAGCGTGGTATAGTAGGCCAAAACCTCCTTTCTAAGGAGAGGCCTATGTCCAACAGTGGACTAATAAAGGCTGTTGATGATGATGATGACCCAGACACAGAACAAATGATTGTACTCATCACACAATATTTGTTCTGGGTGAGAATCAATACCACTTCCTTTAGCTTAGCAGACAGTATCCCTAACTACTAGACCAACAAGTCTGTGAAACAAAGTATAATGCTAGTCGAATATTTGAACACATTGCAAAGTTAACCAAAGCAAATCAAGGTACTCAAACTCAAACTTTCTTTATTTCATAAAATTTCCAAAATTGATTGAAATCTTCTTCCATGTAGACTCTAAAGTCAACAACACACACAAAAGCAACAATCTCTGTTTTGTCAAATAGTAACCAAATAAATTTAACAAAAATCAAACCCATACAAAATCTATGATATGCCTGTGCCGATCTACAACCGCCCGTTTCCAAGGTTGAGCCTTATGAGAAGAAAGGGCAAACAAACTCATGGCCACTCTTTTGCAATTCACAGATAGATACAATGGCACTATTAAATATACCACAACATTGTTTTGATGTCAACAACAGTCTTTCTACAGAACATAGATATCGCCTAGTACTTGGTTTGGGCTGATGGCAATCGCTCCACGTAAAAAATCACAGTTCAGCCGTGTCGTAGCAGACTTAAAACCGACTCCAATCTGGTTTGGGAGAAGGGCTCGGAGGAAAAAAACACAGTACATACATTCACGTCTTAATCAATGAAGGGCTAAACAGAGGCCATAGCAATAAAAAAAAACACATTTTCTTTTGCAGCTCTTCTCTTTGGCGAACAAATCGGTCCAAAGAAGGTTGCCGTGAATGGTATTGACAATGGTGGAAGACATATCGGCTCCATCGACCCAGCGTGCGACGTGGTCGGAGTTGTCAAGGACGCTTATGAAAACGCCAGGTTCCTATGTGACAGATATTATATGGCGTCCCCAGATCTGCAGCTGCTACAGCATGGAGGTAATATACATCATCAAACTTTTGACCCCTAAAGATCTTCAAATAATAATAATAATCTCACGACATTGTCGATATGTGGAATGTGGATTCAGCGATCATTGTTCCGATAGTCGTATCTGCTCGTTAAAGTTGCAAATTTCGTATGTGTTAGGGATCATTACTGCAAGAGATGTTTAAGTTATATTTAGATCGGCTGTCCTGTAACCTTAGAGGTCGCTGGTTCGATTACCTCCTGTGTAAATATTTGAGTTCATGTTTTTTTTTTCGTAGAAGCATATTAGTAATAAAATTTTGTGTCAAGTAAATTTAAACCTTAAAATCAGAGTGTACGATTCAAATTCAATTGCTTGCATTTTTGAGATTTTGAAAATACCGACACAGATTTGTTTGCACGTAGTTAGTAAACAAGCGCCTGCCCATCTGATGTTAAGCGATTACCAATGCACATAAACATGTTATAAACAAAAAAGAATAAAAGCCATCACACGATAAGAAGCGAGGGGGAAGACGACGTGTGACATTGAGTAGCAAGTAGGTGCTACCCTGTAGGGGTTTTTTTTTTTTTTTTTTTTTTTATTGGGACTAATCCCACCCACACGCCCACCACTGTAACTCCTGTACACCAGGATCCACAGCAGTGACCCACGAACACACCGAGTTATGACACTCGGGAAGTCCCAGGAAGAGATTAAACTGTCTTGGAACCCGCAACGAAATTAATCAGAAGAAAATTGGAGGAGTTGGAAATACAGTAAGGGGGGGGTAGGTAGTTGTAGGGGGGGCTGTAGGGGTTGTCAGTTTCGTCACGTCACATTTTAAAAACTAATGTCTAAGTGTTTAAACATCATTATAGTTTTTTTTTATTATGAACTAGTTGACCCGCGCAACTTCGTCTGCGTCTCTCAATAGTAATAAATTTTCTCCGTTTTTGAAACATTCTTCATTGGTGCTCCGCTCCTATTGGTCTTAGCGGGATATATATAGCCTATAGCCTTCCTCGATAAATGGGCTATCTAACACTGAAAGAATTTTTCAAATCGGACCAGTAGTTCCTGAGATTAGCGCGTTCAAACAAACAAACAAACAAACTCTTCAGCTTTATAATATTAGTATAGATATACATCTTTACAAACGGGGGACTTTACAATCATGCAACGGACACAAAGAACACCCAGACTTAGAACAATAATTTGTGGTTCACACAAAGGGTTGTCCCATGCGGAGATCGAACCCACATCACTCAGCACAGTAGAAAGCGGCGAGGTGACCGCTTAAACCACAACGCCATCCATGCAGTCAAATCATAATAACTATTATTATTATTATTATCTGTTACAGTGCCAAGTGAACGACCTATGCACATAGTGTATGTACCTTCTCATCTGTACCACATGCTGTTCGAGCTGTTCAAGAACTCCATGAGAGCCACCATGGAGAACCATGACACTCCACCTCCGATCACTGTGAACGTCATCCAGGGTCGAGAGGACGTCTCTGTTAAGGTATACATAACTGTTTACTATCAGATTACTTTTAAATATTTTTACCAACGATTTCCTTCCTAGTGTACACCTGGTTTCCCGGCTCCTGGTACTATTATGTCTATATATAAAAAAACTGTAAAAGACACGGCATACAACTTTGTTGTTAAATAAAAAAGCCGTGTGGTGTCGTGGGACACCCGATAGGAACGAAGTTGTGACGATCGAGTAAAACTGATTCGACACGATTTTAATTACAACGCCATCTATGAAAGCGGCTATTACCTACATATTTTTCAGTTGGTTTCTAATTAAAACAATTTATACATTGGTAAAATCTCCTTGAGAAATGATGTCGAATACAATATTTTTTGCTCAACCTAAGAACATAAATTTTAATTTTACTGAGATGAAAAGTAATGATTTCCTATCTATTCGATAGATGGCGCTGAATGAGTCACAAGTGACAATTCAAAATAAAAAGTGTCGTTACAACTTTTCGTGAGTTTTTTTTTCCGTCTAGTCCCCTTTCACAACGCGCGATAAGGAACTTCGTTCCAAAAACAAAGAATACATTGTAAATGATTAGGTGGTTATCACATTTTTGAGGCTTAAATGCGACACCGTGTGTTGTTTAGGTTCTTATAAATAAAATAATTTGTTAGATTGACTTGAAATTTTATTCAACACAAGACACAGGCGTTTACAGTCACAGACAGAGTAACGATCATGTAGGAAGTAGTGTGGCCATCATAGAGATAATAGAGGGAGCGAACTATATATTCCCCCCTTTTTTTTTACCTACCTACCGGTGGCTATGTCGGACTCGAACCGACTAAAAACCGCACGCCGTCTCGGGTACCAGTAGCCGGGGAACCAGGTGTACCCTAGAAAGGAAATCCCTGGTACGACTGTATATTCCCCTGTAAGTAGTAGCGTACGGCCGTTAGACAGACAAAGAATATTGTTTTGGTCTTGCTTCTCTCTGATTGGCTGATACTGAACAGAACATTTGTAATAGCCAATCAGTGACAAGAGCAGAGAGAGATGCAAGACCAAATCTTCTTTCTCTCTCTTCTGTATGTGATAGCGCCTTGTTTCGCCTCCTCATATTTATAAGCACTTTGGTGGCCATAGTGCAAGCCATGTTAGTGACGTGACATATTAATCTACTAAACAGTGATGTCACAACATCCCCCTTGTTAAGTTAAAATTAACTCTTAACAGGCAATGTTCTTGTAACTATGCTTACACTTGACAAATACTTATTTTAAATACCATTTTCATACATTTAATATATTTCTTGTATTAACCTTCTCGTTGAGTTTACAAATCTACACTAACGAGGCAACTTTAGATTTGAGGATTGAGATGAGGATTCTTGGGGTCCAGACTCCATCTGTCTATCAATTTCTTCTCTCCCCTGCGACGAGTTGGATAGCATAGGACGATCAGCAATATACCGGTGTACTTAGCCTTATGTACACTCTATTCCTACCTCGAGACGAATACTGGCCAACAAATTAACCAAATTCATTTTACTTATCTGAATATAACAAAGATCTCAACAAAAGAAAACAGAAATATGTTTATTGTTTTTTAAAGAACCACTCCCGCACTAGGAATAAATCCTGAGTCGCGTGGGACTTTACAAATATAAATTAAAGGGACACAAAGAACGCTCAAACTCAGAACAACAATTTGTGAATCACAGAAAGTGTATGTGGGGATCGGACCCACAACACTCAGCACAGTAGAAAGCGGCGAGGTAACCGCTTAAACAACTACGCCATCCGTGCATTATATGTGTCGATTAAGTGACTGACAAATACCATAAGTTCTGTTTTTCTTATCCAGATGTCGGACCGCGGTGGTGGTATCCCACGCAGCGTAACGGACTTGCTTTTCAAGTACATGTACAGCACAGCTCCACAGCCATCCAAGTCTGATTCACACACCGTGCCATTGGCTGGTAAGATTATGACGTCACTTGTCATTAAACTTAAACCTTCTATTTATCTGTAACTAGCGATCCGCCGAATGTAATGTTGATACTACTAATGTGTCAGTGGAGTAATTAATTATACTATTATTTGTGACTCCTGAGTTGCAGACGTTCATGGGCGGCGATGGTCACTTTCCATTAGGTGACCCGTCTGCTCGTCTACCCCCTCTAACATAAGAAAAAAAACTATTAATATGATAAGACTATAATACAGATTATCTATATTATACGCCCTCTCCGCTCCTGTCGGACTTCAGTCGGCTTAACATTACAAATCTATGAAATTCTCGAATTTCCTCTACTGTAACATTACTACATTATGCCTACATATAAACCCGCCCGAATCACTCTCTCTATTGGTGAATACCGCATTAAAATCTATTGCGTAGTTTAAAAGATCTAAGCGTACAAGAAAAAAAACCGACTTTATTTTATACTATGTTAAGATAATTTTTGATCAAACAACTAATTACTATTAACTATACTTGATACTTGCTATTTCGCGCGAGAAGGAAAAGATGAGGAGATATCAATAAAGATAAAAGAACTTTTGGGAAAAACTAAACACAAACCCGAGGTGAACTTGGATGCGTACAGCTTGGAGACTTTGAGGAGAAAAATTAAAATGAAAAAACAACTAATTAACGAACTAGTTTATTACATAGAAGATTATTTAGATTATTTTATAATTTAGAAATATATAAGTATGTTTATCAGCAGTCTGGTTACCATTGTACAAGCTCTGCCTAGTTTGAATCAGACTGCCGTGTGTGAGATGTGGGAAGTTATTATCATTATAAATACTGTTTTCTCTTTCAGGATACGGGTATGGTCTGCCCATCTCGAGGCTGTACGCGCGTTACTTCCACGGAGATCTCACTCTCATGTCTTGCGAGGGGTACGGCACTGAAGCTGTCATATATTTGAAGGTAAACGAATAAATATGTAAATAACATTCTTAACTCCTTATTGTAAATCTAAAATTGTGAATGTTATTGAAATGTCAGACATTTTGGTTAGATTTTTTTTTAAGAAAATAAAATTCCCCAATATTTATATCCTGTGTCGCTGGGGACTTTACACCCTACACTACGTTTGCCGAGACGCGGTTTCCGTATAAGATAATAATATTATAATATTGTACCACATTCACACAACGCCATCTAGTCCTAAATTGCTGATAAATAAACTTATTTAAAATTTTGTCTGTTTGTTTGTTCTGTATGGGTGGACAGATTTCAATTGGAGTTGTGGGATCGATCTCCACATGGGACAACAATTTGTGTGGTTCACAAATTGTTGTTCTGAGTCTGGGTGTTCTTTGTGTCCGTTTCATGTATGTTTGTAAAGTCCCCCGCGACACAGGAATATATATTCCTAATGCGGGCGTTGTCTTTTTTAATAATAATAATATCATACGATTACTATAAAGCTCAAGCTTACTAACCCGTCTGGCTAGCGTGGTATAGTAGGCCAAAACCTCCTTTCTAAGGAGAGGCCTATGTCCAGCAGTGGACTAGTATAGGCTGTTGATGATATAAAGCTCGCTCTTTTTGCACAGGCATTGACAAATGAAGCGAACGAGCTCCTACCAGTGTTCAACCGCACTTCTAGCAAGTTCTACCGGCCGGTGTCACAGCTCGGCGACTGGTCCGGCTCCCTGAACACCGGCTCCAACGCTTCAGAAAAGAAGAACAGAGAGAAGGTATCGCCGCTATCGTCCTCCCGTAGTCTATAGTTTGATACCAAGAAGTGAGATGGAGAATAGTGTTGGCACTAATAGACCACAGTAATATCGATAATATGAAAGTATTTTTTTTATATACAGGTATAAGTTACCATTAGAAGCGGATCCAATGGGGGGGGGGGGGATTTTAAGTAGATAATTGGAGCTTGTAAGTCTTGAGTACACCATAATGACTCTTGAGTTACTTTAGTTATTAGAAGTAAAATATCGATGTTGTAGTAATTAAGAATTCGATTTTAATATCGATTAGTAATGTTTCTGAATTTAAACTCTTGGTCCAGCCCTAATTCTAGGTAGATGACACATGTAAAACAGTAAAATAATTAGACGTCGTTTTAGTGTTATTCGATTATCGATACATATATAAACATTTAGCATGTTATCGATGTCGTATTGATAGATTTAAGAACTACAGGTATGTCTAGAACGTGTAAAACAAATATAATTAGCTTAAAAATACTTTAATTATTATCGACATTACTAATGAGAAAATTTTTGGCGATTTTCTACCAAACGTCACAATACTATGCAACTCACTTCTTTACATATAATTAATCATTAAATTAAATAACTATTAAGAAATACACAACATCATGTGCTTAATAATTTGATAATTTAATTTATCTTTCTTTAGGTTGCGTACTTTGAAAGGTATTTTTCAATATTAATTTTAATTTGCTCAGTACCTAAATTAAAGAAAAGTTAATCTAATACCTTTAAACGAGCAATTTATGTATATTTTGTTATCTGAATCTCGGAAACGGCTCCAACGATTTTAATGAAATTTTGGGACTTTCGGGGGCGATTAATCGATCTAGTTAGGTTGCATTTTTAGAAAATTTACCAAAAAAGAAAAATACCGAGCAAAGCTCAGTCATCCAGGTACTAGTTATAGACTGCTCGTCTGCCCCCTCTAACGTAACAAAAAAATGACATTTGACATATCAAAACTTCAGTTCTGACATTTGTCAAATATTTAACTGTTCAACATACGAATAAAAAACTGATCAATGCTATTTAATATGCCACATCGAAGCGGGGTATAGCTATTATTCTGTGTAAATGAAGCTATCATAAAATTTAACAAATTTTGGTCTACTGTCTATAGTTTTCTGTAGAAGTTTATGGTATCTTTCAAAGTATGCAAATAATAAAGAAAAAAATACAATAATGGAAGGGTAATGAAGGAAAATCTTAAGTTTGGAAAGCTGTTAAAGTATAAAAGACGAAGTATGGCCAAGTACAATATATAATATTCGGTAGATGTCTTGAGTGTTTTAATGTAATTGAAACGTAGAATATTTTGTGTACTTTTAACAATTTTTTCTTCGTGTAAGTAGCAATCAGATGTATATTGACTTAATTCAAAATTAGAATGTAAAATTTTGACTTTCTGTTCGTCTACATGATGGGTAACCTTGGCTACATTTTATGTTCTATAACTTTGTTAAAGCCGGCAAATAAAAAAAAGAAAAACTGATCTATAAATAAGAATACCGTAATTTAATTGGCAGTAAAAAATTGAGTAAGTTTAGGATACAGAAAGCATTATATGTAATAGAATGTTATAACTTTCGTCTATTTTTGCACATTACAATCAAATTGTGTGATGTAAACCCACAATCAAAAACTAATTAAAAAAGAAATATTCACACTTTGTGGTTCGCTTGTGGATTGCATTCCACAATCTGAATTTCGTGTTACATATCTTTTTTGATAGAACTCATATTACTTTTCAGGGTCTTCATAAATATTCAAAATAAAAAAAGTGATCTTCCATATTTAGTATAAAAGTTTTTTTTGGTATCCGGTCAAAGTTACCCCCACTATCAAAGTTAAACAGCTTATACCAATTGTATTTTGTATTCGACCTTCCCTTCTATGCCTTATTTATTTTATCATTAAAAGCACGAAATTGGCTACTAAAATTCTAGTTCCAATAAAGTTGTACATTTCGTTTGTGTTGATTAATATTTTTTAAATGTGATATTTGGCTTAAAGTTTTGACGGTGGTCTCGTTAACGACTGATTGTACTTTTTATTTTATGATTTTGTTTCTAAATATTCTTAACACAATATGATATAAAAACTACAAGGTACTTAAAAATCGACTCTCAAAACTGCTTTATAAAGTTTAAAATAATTCATGGTTATTCTTGAAAGTCTATTATGTGTCGTATGTTCTTTTAGTAGTGTTTTTGCTCTGACCGTGACCTTAGCGAGCTAAGTATGTCATCCAATTATTACGCATTATATACGCATATGAATATAAGCTTATGGAAAAAATATAAAATGGCAAGCGCTCTGTATCTCCAAAGTATTTAGTAACCTGTAGGACGTTTTTGGGTTGTATAAGTTTAAAATTAAACGAGAAAGTTATAGGAAACACTCAAAATAGGAGGTCTCTGGGCCGGTGCCTAGAAGAATCGTTTAATAACTGTTTACTTAGTTTCTTTTGCCATAGCTTGTTCATGATTGTTTAATATTTAGAATCAAAATGATAAATATTACTAAGTACAGATAAAAGAAAAGATATTAATATTTTAGGATTAGGATATAATATCATAGTCTTTAGTTATTTAAGACAGTGAGACTGTGAAAAGGGGTCGCTTTTTGTTTAATTGTCAAAAGTTAAACAAAACACTTGCTTATTTAATAACTTATGAAGTTAAGTAATGATAATATTGTCCCCTATTTTTTTGAAGTGTGTATGTTTTTATTTTATATTATATATTAGGTATTTTTTTTTCAATAAACGCTATATAAGTTTTTGTTAACAACTAAATTTGGCTAATGTAAATTTAAATATTAACTGCCATCTTAAAAAAAAGGTTCTTTCTATGAACGGAGGACTCGTCATATTTTATATATCAATAGTGTAACTATTGAGATTAGGTATGAAATGTAGAAACAGAGTAACACACCAAAACCCGGACTACTTTGCTCTGAAGGTATCAACGACAAAGGAAATGCAACCCTAATGTTGCTAGAAGAGATAGGTAATAGAAAGAGATGCAACATTGAGACGAATATAACTACACGATCTTAGCACTGTGCGATCTAAATTGCACTTTATTGTGTCGATTATAAAGTCGCTATTTATTTAAAACGGTCTTACTAAGTAAAACTTCTGTACTACTAAAATTATTTTCATTCTTATGAGTGAATGTTTGCCACCATATTGATAAATTAATACACCGGTCAATTATAAACAGCTGGTAATAAACATAATTGTAAATGAATAAAAACAATTATTTGTATTCAAATAAAAAATAAATTAATATAGAGTTTCAGTATGAACCATAAATAGAAGAAGTTATTTTTTATTATTGCAACATTAACATTAATTCCATTCAATTATAGTTTTGGTGTGTTATTTACAGTGTACATTAGTCTCTATGGTATGCTGGTAACAAGTACAATAACAGAAAAAATATTGTTTACAATTATGATAACATGTTGTGACAGAACTTGTGTATTTAACTACATTATTTTAATCAATATGTGGGTCAATACTTCAATAAATTAAATTTAAGGATATAATTATTATTGTATTGGTTTACTTGCACGAGTTTTTGTTAATTATTTATTACAAAGTACATTTTTATTTTAAAATAGCATATAATTTACAAGTAATTTAATCGTGTGTTTTCTATGTCAAATGTAGTTTTTGACAGTATACTTAATAATATTAAAGTATTGCTGTTTTTTTTTAAATATTGGTACTCTGTTTACATTTCGTTGCACGCTGTAATTCATATATAATTTTGATTTCATTGTAAATAACCCTAAGAGACAATTTTTATTTTCATATTTTTCTAAAAGGTTAATATTTATAGTATGTACTCAGTAAGTACCTTTTGGTGTAATATTATTGTCACTTGTTTTTGCATTTTACTAATTATTTTTAAGTTTATTCCAAACTCGATATGTAATTTAAATGTAAGTAATTAATATTGTGTAGGAATAAATTAGTAACAAAAATATATTTCATTTCTACGAAAATAAATGTTTATCATATAGAATTGAATTGTTTTTTTTTAATTTACGTCATGCCTTAAAAATTTAATATATGATGTTTTACATCTTAATACTACTATAGCAGCTGGTTAAGTTTTAAATGAATTCAACTCTATTAAAATACAGAGTTTAATGTAGTGTGCGCTGACACGTTACTATTAGTTATATTATTAGAGGGGCAGCGAGCAAGAGCTCATTGCAGAGATTGCCTCGGCACTTGAAAACGTGCTTTTAAGAGTTAAATATTCTGATCAACAGCTTTTAACAGTCACCTGCTGGACATAGGCCTCTCCTTAGAAAAGAGGTTTTGGCCGACTATACCGCGCTGGCCAGACGAGTTGGTATAGGGTTTGTTTCAAGTTTTCCTTCTCTTTGCAATGCCGTTGTCCTGCGTAGTTTTCTCCCTTAGTCGCCTCTTACGACACCCACGGGTGGTGACACTGCGTATTCCTAAACCGTCACCACACGGACAGTTAAGAAATGCCCAAGTCGCCAAAAAAAGCATTCACTTCAACAGAGGTGTCGGTAACAGTAAGTTAGTTAAATATTTAAATCCTCATAAAACACGCACTCAATTTTTTTTTTCAATTTACCAGACTTGACCTACCAAATGTTTAAACAGATAACCATTTATGAAAAAACTAAATAAAAAATGAACCATCCATTTTGCAATGATGTTTCAGATTTACAGATGCTCACGTAAAAGTAATAACTACCCTTGTGTATGTAGCACCCGAATATATTTTTGTAATACAAAGGTGTAATCCACTATTGTATTACAACACCGTAGTCGGATTTTATTTTTTAGGTAAACCTCTGTAAATACTTACATACCTCATACGAATAATAATTTCGAGACTAGACGAGACGAATAATAATTTCGAGAAATCTATCTAAGTGGCGTGCAATGGGAAAGGCCTATTTCCAGCAGTGGACTGCGATAGGCTGATGATGATGATGAATATTCGTAGCATGCCCCCGCATAAAGAGTTTTGTTTTGGAGGAATCATTTTCATTTCATTTCTATGGCTGTCTAAAATAGAACTGTCGAAACTATGGACCGTGAGTCGCATGCGGCAAGCTATATTTAATTAATCTACCATTAAAAAAGAAAATTTTCCCTTTAAATTATTATTTTCGGAGATGGAACAATTTTTTTTTTGTTATTCTTTATAAAAAATTATGAATTATATATAAATATATAGCTCTCCTGGCAATAAGTTTTCCGCCGCATTGGTATTCGAGTCTACGTTCTCGAACGACCCCGGGAGATGGTAAGTTATGATGATGCGCAGTACCAAAATTTGTGAAAAATATCAAACTATGAAGTTTATAAAATCGAAATACAGTTCTTCATTGACAGATACATCATTTTACAATTAATATCAACATCAATATTAGTTGCTGCTAAACTCAGAGCAACTCTCAACTCAACTGATCTAAAATATAGCTGTTATTAACGCGTTTCTGTATCGTGTTATTTGTAAGGACCGTAGAGATATATCTCTACGGTGCTTATAAGCAGAGAGTGAACAAGAGCCACAATCTTGTAATATAGACAACGAGAGCGAAGGATAATAGATAATTCCCTCTATCTCTTTTTAATGGAGCTCTGTGGTTAGCTGGGGAAACTTCTAATCGCCCGCTGTTCTACGATCAAAACCATGCCCACTTCACGATAGCCAATTGCAGCTTAGCTAAACAGAGACAGAGAGTAAGAACATTCATATGCCATTAAAATTGCCTTGCATATGCAAGACATTTGCAAAAAGTTCAAATCAACTATCTTTTCTGGTGTCAAAGATTGGTATTGAAACCAGCTCATGCAGATTTTGATTACGAAAATCAGTAAATCAGTGGCCAGCACTACCTCAAAAGTGATTTACTTGCGTTAACATGTGCATTGATAGAGATCTACTTCTAGGAAAATTGAGAGTAGGAACGGAACGTATGCTCTTGAATCTTGCAACACTGACGAGCTGAGAGCAGCTGTCACTTTTTATTAACGTCTTCACCTGTTTGCGTTCCATTATTTCGCAGTTTCAATCTTAAGAATTTCGAATAGTTTTATCTCGCTCGGAATGCATGTGAAATGTTATGGCAGGTAGAAAACTATGCTAAAGATTTGATTGAACACACAAATTCATTCATAGGGTACCAGTTTTTCTGCCAGCTGGGTAGATATAGGTTATGGAAAATTGTTATTGAAAAATAATTTAACGTTTAAGACTGAAAATTGTATTAAGATGAAAATCTACACAAATAAAAACAACACTTCTACATTAAAGCTTCTAATTGCGGCTAACTTAGCCGGTAAAAAGGTGGAACTTGTCGATGCATCGTTCGAAGGTAGGTGAATTTTCCTATAAATGACTGTTCTTAGTAATATTGAGCGTTCTTTAGAAAGTAAAAGTCACAAAGACAGAAAATAAATGTCTATCGCCTTTTATTTCATCAATAGTGTATGCTTTTTTGTTTATTTTTGAGTAATAAAAATATTTATTATTCACGAAACAATGTGGGATCAGTGGAGCCGATAGACTCAATAATTGCATTACATTGCATCAGTTTGTTTCATTTTCATCGCATTCTTCACATTCTCATTATTTTATGGAATTTACCTTGTTCAAAAAAGTTAGGTTTTTCCTCATTTAATGTTTTACCTACATTAATTTTTGTTAGCCTTTGTGACTGCTTTTAAAACTCAATAAATATAATAGTACACACTAATAAGTAATCGCATGTGGTTTTGGCATGTGGGTCTGTAAGTAGTATTCTTTAAAAAATATAAATCTAACTTCAGTTAAAGTGTTTCTTAAGTTAAACAATTTCAATATTAAATAGTTTAACTTAGATTAGTTTGAGTTATTACTTCTGTTGGGTGTCCAGTAAAGCAGAGGTTTATTTTTGTACGGAAACCTATCTTATGTGAAAAACTGCAAAATCTTACTAGAATCATATTGGAATAATCTATTCCAATTATCTACATAGATGTTTACAACATCTTGGCCAACTGCTGACCACTAAGTTTTTTCTGCTGTCGATGTGTGAATTAGCTATTTTGCCATTGTCGCTGTGTGGATTAACTGTGTTGTTGCTTTCATAACACCTGTTCTTTACGCCTCGATACGACTTTCAAACCAAAGAGCGTATTCCTTAAAAGACCGGCAACGTATTTGTGACTCTTGATTTGCAGACGTTAATGGGTGGCGATGGTCACTGTTCATCAGGTGACCCATTTGCTCGTCTGCCCCCTCTAAGATAACATGTGACATGTTTCCTCTGTTTCCTCTCTCTTGCCTGTAATCTGTAGGGGTGTAAGTGTATAACAGGATGTAGGTATAGTGGGCACTATTTGGTTTGACCAATAAATTCATGTAATGACCAATTAATGAAGGTTTTACCCGCTTACACTGTTATTTGCATGATACCTATACCTAAAAACCAGTTTTTTTTTGCGTGTCTGTCTCTTTGTTTTGTGTAATCTTCTATACGGTTTTATAGGTTTTGATAATATTTTACTACCAGGTAGCTGTCTATATAAGGAGTAACTTAGGCTATTTTCTTCTCAAAAAAATTTCACTTTTCAAATTCCACGCAAACCACTAGCCAGCTAGTTTATCTATAATATGTATTTATTTAGAAATATATAAGTATGTTTATCAGCAGTCTGACTCACACTAGAAAAGAACTTTTTGCATCGCACAACCAATGTGTGGAACAAGTTAATTCCGGACTGATACAGCCGGAAACGTGCATGTGACTCCTGAGTTGCAGGCACTTTGCATGGGCGGCAGTACTCACTTTCCATCAGGTGAATCGTCGGCTCGTTTGCCCCCTGAATAAAAAGATGTCACAGACACAGAATCAGTATCCAAACTTAAGCCAACTTAAACTTTCTGGCTGCTTGAACCTTGCATGAACTAATTTTATCCTAACCTTCCACTCACTGCATGTAACTAACCTGGGTAACGGTACTGAGAAATCGCTTGTGATTTCAGATGATGTATTCGCAGGGCCGCGCTCGCTTCCACTGCTGGAGGTGGATGACAGTCTCAGCTTCTTCGCCAGCAACGCAGCTGCGCAGTACCTCTTCCCTATATTGGACTTGTCAGAGAATGGACAGTGGTATGCATTATTTATTGTTAGTATAAATGCGATTGTCGAAATCGATTAGACGATCCATGTCTTTTGATGTTCCTGTGCCAGGCATACGCAACTGCAGTCCCAATAACGTGACTAGTTTCGCCAAAACAACTTCACTTGCACAATGTTGTTTCTCCGAAACGGTTAGATCGGCCTATAATTCAGGTATCACTTAACAAAGAACTCCCTGAACCCTGGATAAACAGGACTACCTATCACTGTACTGTATTCACCTGCAATTTGGAAGCCTCGGGCCAGTATACTTCATTCCAGGAGCCAGATTACCCTACCTAACTTCGTCAGACCAGTGCTCATTAAAGCTCTAGGCTAGCTGGTATGGCTTCTGCAGGATAGGAGAATTCTAGTCCTCTCGGATTCTCTTTACCACTTTAGGATTACCCTGCCTAATATTACAATTGCGAATGTGACTTTGGTGTTTTAACCCCCTATCTCTCAGCCCACAGATGCTAGAATGGGAAGCCACTCGTCTGTACCCAGCAGTTAATATAGTGCTAACTTCAAAGTCAGTTCCATCAGACGTAAAGCAAGTCTTGCAAGGACTGCTGCAGACTTTAAACGGCATGCTCGAGAAGCATCAATATTTACTAGGAGTAAGTTATTTTTAAATTTTTCAGGGTTTTTTCGTGATATGTAATTTGTATTGATGTTTATTTGTTGGTCCGAGTATTTTTTATGTTTACAACAATTTTTGATTCTGGCTCAACACCTTTAACTTAATAATACCTTTACACCACTACTTTACGGCGGTAGTCGCTTTCCATGAGGTGGCTCGTCTGCTCGTTTGCCACCTATTCCATAAAAAAAAAATCTCACACACGGTGTCTGATTCCAAACTAGGCAGAGCCTGTACTATGTTAACCAGACTGCTGATAAACATACTTATGTATTTCTAAATACATACATATTATAGATAAATTACACCCAGACACAGAACAAATCATTGTGCTCATCACATAATTATTTGTTCTGGGTGGGAATCGAACCCACGACCTCGGGCTTAGCAATCAGGGTCACTAACCACTGCACCATCAGGCCCGTCGTTTGTTTCTTGAGTTGAATTACAGGTGTCCATGGGCGGGAGTAATCGCTTACCATCACAGTGACAGTTGTTGAAGGTTTTAAGCTCTTCAACTCACATGATAGTTTATTTACAGGACAAGATATCAGCAGTGGACATAGCTACTTGGAGTACATTGTACCCCGTGTACTACAATAATGATCTCAAGCAAATATATATGGCTGACTGCAGCCATATTGTGAGATGGATCAAGGAGTTAGCTGACGCTAAGGCTATACAGGTATGGTTTGGGTTGAGAAGTTGTATATGTACTAATCGGCGCGAGAACTTTCATTGCGCGATGTAGGATTAGTAGTTACTCCATAGTTCGATGCGTCGTCGTTAGATGGCACTAAAGTATTCTTTTTGTTTCGTTGTATGTGGGAGTTGCCACAGTTTGAACTATAATGTATGAATAAACAAAGAAGAAAATTATTGTTAACTATTTTGTATAGTGTGGTGACGGATTTAGAATACCTCCGTATTCTGTCAGCAACCACCCCTATTCATTCCGTAGGTGTCATAAGAGCAGACTAAGGAAGCAAACTAGGCAGGACAATAGCATTGCAAAGTGAAGGAAAACTTGACACAAACCCTTTATCTACCCGTCTGGCGAGTGTGGTATAGTAAGCCAAAATCTCCTTTCTAAGGTCCATCATTAAAGTCTTCTGACTATTTTGTTTCGTCTTTTCTGTGCGTCTACTTTTATCGTAATAAATATATTAATATAATAAATGTTTACTTGAGATCTATTTTTTTTTACTCACAGGAAGCTGTTAAGCAGTGGGGCGGTTCTGCTGCAGGACCTTTTGGCGCACCCTCGGCGTTAGGTATACCACAAGTAGCCAGTCTTGCGTCACCAGTTGGGTAAGGAAAAAAATTATAGTTTAATAAAACTAAAAAAAACGGTCAGGTACGAGTCGAACTCGTGCGCCGCGGGTTCCATACCTACCCAGATTTTACGTACATTTTCGCGAAAATTTGCAAGTACCAAAATTTATGATAATTTGCAAGTTTTTCGTTTTTTGGAATTATTCCTTTATTTGTGCTGTAAGACCTTACTTTTAACCAAAATTGACAATTGCCCATATTTTTTATCGCGTTGACTCAGGACCTTGATTTTTATACACCTAATAGGGACCATTGACCTCAGTATCTGGTATAAATTTCAACTTGCTAGGTCTACCCGTTCCTGAGAAAATCGGTAGTGACACACGGACAGACAGACAGACAGACAAGAAAGTGATATTATAAGGGTTCCTTTTTTACCTTTTGAGGTACGGAACTCTAAAAAGCTCTAAGTAAAATCGATCATTGTGGGCTAAATAATAATATATTTTTTGTCAGACTAGGTCCATATTTATGTTAGTATTTTAGTTAGTAACAATAGTGCTAGTTGAAAGTTAGTATTTTTAGTATTAGATTTTTTATTCTGTTTATTATTTGTATTGACCTATGACTGTCCCCACGCAGTGCTTCTGCAATGGGTTGGCTTCTGGTCTGGCAGCGATCATTTTCAGAATGCTGTTGTCACTGCTATACAGGCGCTGTAGTAAGAAGACCGCTTTCTTTCGCATAATTGCATAGAAATCATTTATGCTAGCAGGACACTCCCGACAGCATCCTGAAAGCATCATGCAAACAATCTGATCGGTTAACTGGTAGCCTTTGAATATCTGACTATCATACATATTCCTAACTGAGTTATGATATACTCAGTGGTATAGACCGTGTGGTGACGGATTAAGAATGCGGAGTGTCACCACCCCTGTTCATCCCATGGGTGTCGTAAGAGACGACTAAGGGAGCAAACTACGCAGGACAACAGCACTGCAAAGAGAAGGAAAACTTGAAACAAACCCTATACCAACCCGTCTCGCCAGCATGGTATAGTAGGCCAAAACCTTCTTTCTAAAGAGAGGATTGTCCAGCAGTGGACTGTTAAAGGCTGTTGATGATGATGATGATAATAGATGTAATATTGATAGCAAGTGACTACCACCATCCATGGACAACTGTAACTGAATGGCCTCAGCCCAGGGGGTGGAGATTCTGGATTAGGTAGACTCAGGAGTCTAACTCCTCCCCCAGAATCGAGGAGGGGGGTGGACGAAAGAATTACTTAAGAAAGGTTTTCTGTGAGGCTGTGGTATAACTCTGGTCAAACTCTCCCATTTGTACCGTAGCATGGCTGTCACACGGTATTAATTAATTTTAATAATTTAACCAGGCTACCTTAGGGTATTACTAGTATTTTATTATATTATTATATACTAGCTGACCCTGCAAACGTTGTTTTGCTATTTATATTTTTTTTCTGAATTTCGTAAAATCCGTTCTTAGCTGACCTCCACTCGGTGAAAAGAATATTCCTACCAAATTTCAAGTCTTTAGCTCTAATGGTTCCAGAGATATCGTGATGAGTGACTATATACGTGGAAATCTCTGATATATATATAGATGAATGTTAACAAAAAAAAAATTTTCAGTACACCAGACCAGGATGTCGAAGTCGGTCCAACACCGGAGGAAATCGAATCTGCAAAGGATAATTGGCTCAACGGCTTGAAGAAACTGCAGCCGCGACTCATACAGGAGAAACTGGTGTAAGTTGACCCCTTGACTTTACCGGAGTTGATTGAAAATACGACTTATATTTTTAGGGGATGATGGAATAAGTTTGGATCCAGGGGACTTTGTTCGAGGGGTCGTTTCAGTGTTTGACACCGCTCCACACTTGCGAGAAGGAAACTCCGAAATAAATACGTGAATAAATCGGTTTTTTCTTCACAAAAATAAAACGCACATCTCACACACGACCGCTTGATTCCAAACTAGTCAGAGCCTGTACTACGGTAACCAGACTGCTGATAAACATACTTATGTATTTCTAATACATACATGTTATGTATACATTACATTCTGACACAACAAATTTTAGTGCTAATGACAATATTTGTCCTGGCTGGGGATCAAACCTTAAGTGGCTTAACAGTCAGGATCACTAACCACTAGAGCAACAGCCCCCTATTAGAGAGGCCACTAGGACATGGATATAAACTAGCCTAAACACGCATTTATTTTAAACCGCCTTCAAAACAGGAGGTTCTCGATTTAGTTGTTTTTTTTATTTTTTCTTTAGAACTCCGTCATTTATGAACCAATTTTGGAAAAACTTTTTATTTTATTAAAAATCCCTCCCAGCTTTGGTCCCGCTTACCGCTAACAGTGCAAAATGTAGAATAAAAAATACAGTTCTAATGAACTGTATTTTTTATTCTACATTTTGCACCAAATATTATATCATGATGTAATCATCATGATATAATATTTGGTAAAATTTTCAGGTTACCAGTTAAAGGACGGAAGAATATATTGATCACGTCAGCGCTACCTTACGTCAACAATGTACCACATTTGGGCAATATTATAGGCTGTGTGCTTTCCGCGGACATATTCGCTCGGTGAGTTTTGTGCATTTATTTACTTAGATATATATATATATTTCACTGTAAACGCCTGAACTACAGTAAATCCTAAGATTTACCAACTGGTTTTAGTAAAAGTCCGAATTTCGAGCATTTGCCACCATGTGCCACCACGCCACTTACTACTAAGTGTTGTGGGTCCGATCCCCACATGGGACTAAACTTTGTGTGATCCACAAATTGTTGTACTGAGTCTGGGTGTTCATTGTGTCCGTTTCATGTATCTTTGTAAAGTCCCCTGCGTCACAGGATATATTCCTAATGCGGCTGTTGTCTTTTAAAAAAAGATTTTTTATAATGTTATAATATATATATATATATTACAGGTACTGTCGGCTGTGTGACTACAACACCCTCTATATAAGCGGTACAGATGAGTACGGAACCGCCACTGAAACTAAGGTGAGGCATTATTTATGCGGCATTGGTCTAGTGGTTAGTGAGCCTGACTGCTAAACCGGAGGTCGTCGGTTCGATTCCCACCCGGAACAAATATTTGTGTGATCAGCACGATCGTTTGTTCTGTGTCTCACATCAACAGCCTTTAATAGTCCACTGTTGGAAATAAGCCTCTCCTTAGAAAGGAGGCTTTGCCCTACTATACAACGCTGGCCAGACGGGTTGGTATAGGGTTTGTGTCAAGTTTTCCTTCTTTTTGCAGTGCTGTTGTTCTGCGTAGTTTGGTCCCTAAGTCGCCTCTTACAACACCCACGGGATGAATAGGGGTGGCGACACTTCGTATTTTTAATCCGTCGCCACACGGACGGTTCTCTGTCTGAGTGTAATTTATCTATAATATGTATGTATTTATGAATATATAAGTATGTTTATCAGCAGTCTGGTTACCATAGTACATGCTCTGCCTAGTTTGGGATCAGACAGCCGTGTGTGAGGTTATTATTATTTATGAACTCTACGTAGCTTGGGTAGCTTAAGGTTGTACCAGACAGCGGGCGGGACGCAGAAGTGACGTAGCTTGAACAGTTGAATTTAATAATGTAGTAGTGGACGGTAGCGTAGTGCGGGACGGTTCTCAGTGAAATTTTGTAATCAATTATTCTTTGATAAAAACTGGTTCTATTCCAGACGTTTATCTATCTTTTTAACACATTTCATCGAGATCCGTTTAGTCGTTCTCGTTATGCAGGCTTGGATGCTAGACGCGTCGTCTGTAGTTTCATGGGTTTTATTTTTTTTGGAAAACTTGGCCATTTCAGATTTTAAGAAAAGAATGTGTCCCTAAGAATGGAGAATTAAGGAATGTAGAATACAGTTTATTACCATTGATTATTACAAAAATAGCATATGTAGTTTTATCAAACTTGGTCCAGCCGTTTGAGTGTGATGAAGTAACATACACACTCACAAACTTTCGCTTATTATTATTGTAATGTTTTGTAGGCTCTCGAAGAAGGCGTGACCCCTCGAGAGATCTGCGACAAGTACTTCGAGTTGCATAACAACGTGTATCGCTGGTTCAATATCGGGTTCGATTACTTTGGACGGACCAGTACACCGCAGCAGACACAGTCAGTATATTTTTATGATACGAGCTGACCACCCACAACCATATTTGTGATGTGGGATATTAAGCATATATTAGACTAGCTGAGACCCGCGGTGTTACCCGCGTTTGTTGTTATAACCGCGGGCAACGCCGCGGTTTGAAGCTAGTCTAAAAAAAGTAGCATAAGTTACTCCTTATGTCATCAGCTATCTGCCAGTGAAAGTCCTGTCGACATCGGTCCAGCCGTTCCAGAGATTACCCGGAACAAACAGACAGATAGACAGACAAAAAATGTAAAAAATGTTATTTTGGCATATGTACCGTGTAAACATACATATGCATTTAGTAAAAAGCTGTTATTTTAATATTACAAACAGACACCAATTTTATTTATTTGTATAAATAGGATACTCTTTCTCTTTGTATATTTATTACACCTAATACCAGTATAAGAGACGATAAACTATAATCACTGCAAATGTACTGGGAATTGTATATCTATCATAGAATTATAGAGTTACAGCTTCCGTCCCTAGCTTCGCCCTCGTTGATTTCGGTAACCGTGATCCTTTTTGTTAATATTAAAAAGTGAGTTATATCTACTTAGGATATTAATAATAATATTCTACCACATTTTTATTTATTTGTATAGAATGATGTGTCATGCCAAATTATTGGTCTAGTGGAATAAGAGTTAAAGCTCAAAAGATTTTATGATGACTGCACGGATGGCGTAGTGGTTTAAGTAGTCGCCACGCCGTGGGTCCGATCCCCACATGGGACGACACTTTGTGTGGTCCACAAAGTCACACAAGTCCCCCGTGACATAGGATATATTCCTAATGCGAGAATTGTCTTTAAAAAAAATTCGTTGCCGTTTTCTGTGTGTCTACGCGCGGCACAGGATATTCCTAGGTGTCTTGTAAAAAAAAATTTGCTCTAATTGGAGCCGACCTGCTATCACATCATGACCACCTTATCACCGTCCTGCTGAACGTAGCCTCCCCTGCAGCATAATTTTTAAGGCACTTTGGCAATTGAATTTGACATGACCCTACACTGGTTAGAGCGAAACAGTGATCATAAGAATGATACTGCGAAGATGGATCTATACAAATAAATAAAATTGGAGTGTCTGTTTGTAATATTAAAATAACAGCTTTTTACTAAATGCATATGTATGTTTACACGGTACATATGCCAAAATAACATTTTTACTATTTTTGTCTGTCTGTCTGTCTGTTTGTTCCGGGTAATCTCTGGAACGGCTGGACTGATTTCGACGGGACTTTCACTGGCAGATAGCTGATGACATAAGGAGTAACTTAGGCTACCTTTTTTAGACTAGCTTCGCCCCGCGGCGTTGCCTGCGGTTATAACAACAAACGCGGGTAACACCGCGGGTCTCAGCTAGTTAGAATTAAAATGGCACCGTTAAATTTGTAAAAATTATTCGCAGGATTGCACAGCGGTTGTTTTTGAAACTACGAGAGAACGGCTTCGTGACTTCACAGTCTGTAGACCAACTGCTGTGTCAGAACTGTGACAGATTTCTAGCTGACAGGTAAATATCATTTTTTTTATGGTATCAGGGGTAGACGAGCACCTGGGGCAGTCGTTACGGGTAGTCGTAGTAGAACTTCGATATCGCCTAGTACTTGGGGTTGTTGAGGTCTGATGGGCATTCAGCGTGAAACGAAGAAACATACTACAGCACCATCTAACGCCGACTCACCGAACTACGGAGTAATTGCTAATCCTGTATCGCGATACGAAAAATGATCAGGCACGATCACCTCGCCTGATCGGTGGATCCTCAATAACTTAAAAGCCGACCCCAACCTTATTTGGGCAAAAGGCTCGGGGAAAAAGGGGGCAGACTAGCAGACGGGTCACCTGATGATAAGTAACTACTGCTGCCCATGGACACTCAATAGACAAAAATAGGGGCGGAGGGGTTGGTTGCGTTCTCGTAACCTCACTAACTCAATGAAAAGCAACGAAATAATTTCTACCTGTGTAGCCTGGTGTCACTTTGGTGGATCCACGACTAATGTGTGTATATATTTGTAAAGGTTCGTGGAGGGCACGTGCCCCCACCCCGGCTGCGGGTATGAGAGCGCGCGCGGGGACCAGTGCGACAAGTGCGGGAAGCTCATCAACGCCGTGGACCTCATCCAGCCCAAGTGTAAGGTGTGTGCTCACACCCCCATCCTCCGGCCCAGCGAGCAGCTCTTCATTGAATTGGGACAGGTGATTGATTACACTAATTATATACATATATGTTACTAAATAATGTTGTCGAATTTTGGAACGAAGTTCCTTATCGCGCGATGTGAAAGGGGGCTAGACGGAAAAAAATCTCACGAAAAGTTGTAACGACACTTTTTATGTCAGTCATTCAGCGCCATCTATCGAATAGATAGGAAATCATTTCTCAAGAAGATTTTACCAATGTATTAATAGTTTTTATTAGAAACCAACTCAAAAATATGTAGGTAATAGCTGCTTTCATAGATGGCGTTGTAATTAAAATCGTAACGAATCAGTTTTACTAGATAGTCACAACTTCGTTCCTATCGGGTGTCCCACGACACCACACGCCTTTTTGTTCTATCTTGTTCTAAAAATGATAAATTTATTATGATGATCCTTAGCCAGTACAGCCGCTTTTAAGGAGTCTTTTCATATTCATTTAATCATAAAATATAAGCTTACAGTATATACAACCTAATAGCTTATATCTGTACTAAAAAAAACTCAAAGATATAAACAAAAATAGATGTGAAACATTCAGACGGAAGGTAAGTCCGGCTGTGGACATGGCGACGCGTCGCCATGGCATACGTCGCCACGCTATGTTATAGTAAATATAACTATTACAAGTTATTAATGAAGAGAATTAAGTTGTCTTCACTTAATATTTGTATTAAGTTAATACAAATTTATTTGTATATTAAAAACAACCATCTTTTCTTTTTATTTAAAAAATCTTAATATATATTTTTAATTGTTCTATATTTATTATTTCCTTTCATAAGCTATCCTTTTGTACTCATTATTTCTACAAATTATTATTTTTTCATCATCACGGACGTCCCGCGACTGTTTTTTTTTAAATTTCCATTTATCCTAAAAGTATCATTACTTGCTATCCTCTGTTACAGCTGGAACCTTCCGTCCGCACCTGGATTAACGCCAACGAAAAATCATGGTCCCCTCCAGCCAGGGCTGTCGCTCGCGCCTGGCTCAAGGAACCTCTCAGATCCAGGGCTGTCACCAGGGACCTCAAGTGGGGAGTCCCAGTGCCTTTAGAAGGCTACACTAATAAGGTAAAGGAATATTATATCTTTTATATGTTTTAATTTTTTTCTCAGCACGTTTGACAGGGAATTTCCTCTTCCCAATTCTATTTTTTACTGGCCTTATGGTCCAGTGGTTAGTGACCTTGACTGCTAAGCCAAGAATCACGGGTTCGATTCCCGCACAGGACAAATAATTGTGGGATGAGAACGATCATTCGTTATGTGTCTGGGTGTAATTTATATACTATGTATGTATTTATGAATATATAAGTATGTTTATCAGCAGTCTGGTTACCATAGCACAGACTCTGCCTAGTTTGGGTCTAGACGGCCGTGTGTGAGATGTTTGAAGCTATTATTATTTGGGATTGACGCAATATCCGGCTGCCTGCTAGACGCCAGCAGATTGGTCACTTGATGGTAAGTGACTACCGCGCCCATGAAAACCTGCACCTCAAATGTCATAAGCGCGTTTTAGCACTTTCCAGAATCGGAGGGAGGGGTTGGGGTTGTACCGGAAGACATGCGGATAGCACAGGATCGGTTATTGTGGAGAGGCTTGGGGGAGGCCTATGTCCAGCGGTGGACGTCCTGAACTATCTCAAGAAATTGATGATGATGGAGGGGTTGGGCTCCAATAACCTCATTCACTTGGTAAAAAGCAACGATAAAATTACTAAACACCGGTTTGTCCTGGGTATTACTCCGGTCGAGCCAGCCCATTTCATCACAGCTTACAGTCTTTATGCGTTTAATTTGCAGGTATTCTACGTTTGGTTCGACGCACCGATTGGGTACATGAGCATAACGGACATCCTGACGAATCAGTACGAGAAGTGGTGGAAAGCTGACAAGGAGTATGACGTAAGAGACATTTATCTATACATATAAAATTATACAGGGTGTAATCCCTTACACCCTGTACATGCCCCCCTTAGTCGCAACGAATACTGAAATAGTGTATTCAGACCATCATTCTGAGTTGAAAATCATTGGATTTTTTTTTCCGGAAAATTTAACGTTTTATAAGGTTAAGGTCATTCCCCGTAAATATCGCACAAAAGTAATAGAGATATAACCCTAGAGAGTACACGGGGTACAGCTGCCTGTAAGTGGAAGCGATACAGGCAACGAGAGAGATGGATACCCGATATTTCCCTTTGTCTCTGTTTAGCGAAGCTGCGATTGGCTACTTATTAACCCCTCAAATACCAACCATAGGCTAGAAAGAGATTGGGGGTACTATCTATTATCTATATCTCTTCTTGCTTATATTGCAAGATTGGGGCTTTTGTATCCTCTAGGTTATATCTCTATGATTGGGACTAAAACTGACTGGCTGACTGATTTATCAACGCAGAGCCTAAATCGCTAAAAACTTGTCATTTTTACAGCTGATGCTTTTTATGTTGTTAACATAAAGATTTTTTTGGTAATTTCACCCCTTTTTTTTTCCGTGCGGAAATCCCCTCGGATACCACCCGCCGCACGCCGTCTCGGGTACTAATAGCCGAGGAACCAGGTATACCCTAGAAAGGAAGTCCCTGGTGCCCCGACATACCTCGGGCCATCTACAACAACAGGTAGACGACCCCCCCCCCCCCGAGTGGGAACCCCATGTTCCCTCTGCTCCCTGGATGGTAATTTCACCCCTTAGGGCAAGGTTGAATAGAAGAAGTCATTTTCAAAGTTACAAATACGAAATAGGGATACTCTCTACGGCCTATGCGTATCCAATAACTGTAAAAGATTTTTTCTTTCCAGGTAAATTTATACCAATTCATGGCAAAAGACAACGTTCCGTTCCACGTGATAATGTTCCCGGCGACGTTGATAGGCATCAACGAGGGGCATATCCTCGTTAAACACATTTACGCTACAGGTAACTTATTATACTTTTCTCTGATTGTGGGGGAAGGGATTGAAAGGGTATTTCACTCAGATTCTGGGGGAAGGGACTGAAAGAGTACTTCACTCCGATTCTCGGGGAAGGGAATGAAAGGGTATTTCACTCTGATTCTGGGGGAAGGGACTGAAAGACTACTTCACTCTGATTCTCGGGGAAGGGAATGAAAGGGTATTTCACTCTGATTCTGGGGGAAGGGACTGAAAGAGTACTTCACTCTGATTCTCGTGTAAGGGAATGAAAGGGTATTTCACTCTGATTCTGGGGGAAGGGATTGAAAGGGTATTTCACTCTGATTCTGGGGGAAGGGACTGAAAGAGTACTTCACTCTGATTCTCGGGGAAGGGAATGAAAGGGTATTTCACTCTGATTCTGGGGGAAGGGACTGAAAGAGTACTTCACTCTGATTCTCGGGGAAGGGAATGAAAGGGTATTTCACTCTGATTCTGGGGGAAGGGACTGAAAGAGTACTTCACTCTGATTCTCGGGGAAGGGAATGAAAGGGTATTTCACTCTGATTCTGGTGGAAGGGACTGAAAGAGTACTTCACTCTGATTCTCGGGGAAGGGAATGAAAGGGTATTTCACTCTGATTCTGGGGGAAGGGACTGAAAGAGTACTTCAGTCTGATTCTCGATGAAGGGAATGAAACGGTATTTCACTCTGATTCTGGGGGAAGGGACTGAAAGAGTACTTCACTCTGATTCTCGGGGAAGGGAATGAAAGGGTATTTCACTCTGATTCTGGGGGAAGGGACTGAAAGAGTACTTCACTCTGATTCTCGGGGAAGGGAATGAAAGGGTATTTCACTCTGATTCTGGGGGAAGGGACTGAAAGAGTACTTCACTCTGATTCTCGGGGAAGGGAATGAAAGGGTATTTCACTCTGATTCTGGGGGAAGGGACTGAAAGAGTACTTCACTCTGATTCTCGTGTAAGGGAATGAAAGGGTTTTTCACTCTGATTCTGGGGGAAGGGATTGAAAGGGTATTTCACTCTGATTCTGGGGGAAGGGACTGAAAGAGTACTTCACTCTGATTCTCGGGGAAGGGAATGAAAGGGTATTTCACTCTGATTCTGGGGGAAGGGATTGAAAGGGTATTTCACTCTGATTCTGCGGGAAGGGACTGAAAGAGTACTTCACTCTGATTCTCGGGGAAGGGAATGAAAGGGTATTTCACTCTGATTCTGGGGGAAGGGACTGAAAGTGTACTTCACTCTGATTCTCGGGGAAGGGAATGAAAGGGTATTTCACTCTGATTCTGCGGGAAGGGACTGGAAAGGTAAATCACTCTGATGGTGGGAGAGTTGATTAATAGGGTACTTCACTCTGATTCTGGGAGAAGGGACTGAAAGGGCGTAAAACACTTGTGACTTTTGAGTTGAACATATAAATCCATCTGTGTGGTAACGGATTAAGAATACAGAGTATCACCACCACTATTCATCCCGTGGGTGTAGTAATAGTCGGGTAAGGGCGCAAACTACGCTGGACACAACGTCTGGCCAGCGTGGTATAGAAGGCCGAAACTTCCTTTCTAAAGAAAGACCTATGTCCAGCAGTGGACTATTAAAGCCTGCTGATGAGACCATAAAAAAAGAACTCACGGGTATACCTGAATGTCTTGGACTTGGAAATGTCTTGGACTCAGCAGCGGTCCTTTTCCATTTGACTAGCCTGCTGGTCTACTGGTTAGTGACCCTGATTGACTGAACGTAGATGGCTTTTAACACTGGTTTTCTGTGAAGTGGTGGCTCATGTCCTGAAGCATGGTTCTCTGCCTATCGTAAAACCATCAGTAATTTAGCTTGTCTTTCCAGAATACTTGAACTACGAGGACGGCAAGTTCTCCAAGTCCCGAGGGGTAGGAGTGTTCGGTTCTGATGCACAAGAGACGGGTATACCGTCAGATGTCTGGCGGTTCTATTTAGCCAGCATCCGGCCTGAGACTTCAGATTCTAGCTTTAGTTGGACTGAATTAGGGACGAGGTAAGCTCAGCAAATATATCTTGGTTTGTGATGCTTGAATTATTCATAGGTTTAGCTTAGGATCTGATGGTCGCTTTAGCCGACTTTTGTTAGAGTGGACAGATAAGGTAAACGTGTAGGGCGCCCTGCGGCACGATGAACAGAAGACTTGAGGAAAGTGGCTGGCAGCAGATGGATGAGTACTGCCCAAGATCGGGATAGTTTTAGCTCCTCGCGGGGAGGGGGGGGGGTCGTTCCGCAGTGGACGGCAATGGGCTCATAATGAAAGCTTTTATTCCCTCGTGCGCTAAAACGTGATCAATCTGGTAATTAAATGACGGAGAGACATTATACAGTTAGATCACTTTCACAGTTTTGCGGGTTTTCCGGACCGATACGACCTTCAAACCTCCAAGAAAAGAGCGTACTCCTTCCTAAAGGGCCGGCAACTCGTTTGTAACTCTTGAGTAGCAGCCGTTCATGGACGGCGATGGTCACTTTCCATCAGGTGACCCGTCTGCTCCCCTCTAACATTAAAAAAAAAATTGAAAAAAATATTAAAATAACTATTGGAATTTATGAGACAGACTAACTCAGGGTGCAGTCCTAGAGACTTTCAGACGATCAGGGTGGCGGGTGTGATAATAGGTTAGTAGTAAGCACAAATATTTCTAGATGTTTAACATTCAGGTTTGGATCATGAGGTAGATGGTGACATTGTTTGCTAGTGCCATAATTGCTTGCAGCTGAAGAGTTATTGATATTTTCCATCCCTACCCTGGAGTCTCTGAGCACTGTGGCAACAAGTTCTATGAATCTGTTCTGTCTTTTGGGTACTTCTCCATTAAGGTTTGTCCATTCTCTCTTCTTGATAAATTAATGATATTTTTTTTATTTCAGAAACAACTCAGAGCTGTTAAATAACCTTGGCAACTTCTGTCACCGATCTCTATCGTTCTGCGCCAACACGTTCAAAGGGAAGGTTCCAGATTTGGTGCTCACGCAGGCTGATTACGAGCTAATCGCGTTGGTTAATAGAGAAGTTATTGGTGAGTTCAATCCACATATTTGAGCAGCTGATATGTGTCCTTTTAGCCTCTTTAGGCACAGGACGGCCAATAAGGATACATAATCCCGGTTTCTTTGGGTAACTGCAGCCTCAGTACCGTTCCTCGTCTGACGCTTAGGGTATCTCTTACTATTATATAATATTATCGGTATTCTCCAATTTACCACTATTTGTCCATCTGAAAACGATCATACTAAGAAGGGTTGACTCCTGTAGTAAAAAACCCGATTAAAATCCTTTGAAATCATAAACTGCGCCAACCCAATAATAATCCAAATAAAATGATGATAAAACATGATACTGAGAAAGACAATAATGGTTGAATCGATATATCATGCACGAGGAACGGTTTTATTGGTACCAGTATAGACCCTTGTGGCACACTACCTCGGTTTCTACCTTATTTAAGTTTTTTGGGTGTGTTTAAAACGATTGTGTGACATTAGTGGCATTCCAAAGTGTAATCTGCCGTGGGATCTTCGCTTGGTATCTTTAGGATCAATTTTAATCTATAATTTTAGATCAATGAATGTCAGAAGCTTTATTTAAAACATTATCTTTTTGCGGGAAAACTAATGTTGTAATAAAATTATCTAAATGTATTTATTGTCACTATCAGTAATCAACCAAATTAGTGTGAGCGCGCGACTGTCTCCCTCACTTGTTTAATTTAGGGTTGCCCTATCAGCAGATATCTCCTGTGAATTGGTTACAGGGCTTAATCGAAAAGCCTTTTTCCAGCCTACGTTCAACACATGGAGAAGGGTCGTCTCCGGGAAGCACTGCGGCATGTGATGAGCATATCACGAATTGGCAACCAACACATGCAGTCCACACAACCCTGGGTGTTGCTTAAAGGGTCCGATGATGATAAGTGAGTATGATCAAGAAATCATCTCCCCTCAGTTTTGCCGACGTTCATGGTCTCTGCAACATTCCTAAAGATCGTAGCGTGATGTTCCATAGCCTATAACCTTCCTCAAGTATGGACTTATAAGGGCAAAGTGAATTTAAAAAATCTTTGCCCTTAGCAAAGTGAATTTAAAAAATCTGACGCTTAGTTTCCTAATAGCGCTTTCGATCCTAACTAAAGGTTGTGTTAGACATTGGGTAGTGTGTGTCTTACTACGTCCGCTGTCTGCCCTAGCCTTTACTTGGTAATCATCGAACCGCATCTTAACCGAATAATACTGTTTAATATAAATATAATAATGTGTAAGAACATATTATTACTAGATAGGACCGAATATTTAGCATCGTTCGTTTATTCGTTAATAGTTCATTCATTACTTCATTCGTTAATAGTTCATTCATACGTTAAAGTGTCTTATAATAATATTTAAATCAGAATTCGAGTTTTTTTATAACATTGTAATGACCTACAATAATGTTATTCTTTCTTTTTTTATATTCTATCTGTCTTTTTATTTTCAGGCAACTCGGTGCGACAGCCATCGGTCTGTGTTGCCAGCTAGTGGCTCTTCTATGTACGCTCCTGGCGCCATACGTGCCTGATACAAGTAGAAAGTTAAGGGAACAACTCAAAATAGATACAACAACCTTGAGGATCAACCCGGAGTGAGTAAATCATTACTTATTTTGAGAGCGAAAGACTGAGCATAGAGAATGGAATTGATATATGAATATCCCAATTTACCCATCCTATTTTTGGGATAAGTTAAAAAAAAGTCATATTTATCCGTCTGTCATCATCATCAATCATCAACAGCCTTTAAATAGTCCACAGCTGGACATAGGCCTCTCCTTAGAAAGAAGGTTTTGGCCTACTATACCACGCTGGCCAGACGGGTTGGTATAAGGTTTGTGTCTTCTTTTTGCAGTGCTGGTGTCCTGCGTTGTTTTGCGCCCTTAGTCGGCTCTTACGACACCCACGGCATGAATTGGGGTAGTCCGTCTGTAGTCAATGATATTTCAGGATGATCCGTTATATTCATACAGCGCGCACAAAATATTGGTTCCGTACCGTACATACTTCTTATTAATCCATTTTAGAACCAAACATACGCTATATGATATTCCTATATCTTTATTTACCTTTTTGTCGTAATTTGTGCACTTTCGAAATACACAGGAAGGTGTTTTATGAATGGTTTTCAATTAATTAGTGCGTGCGCTGACTCGCAGTGGTCCTAATTAGGACCCTTTCGTTTTGTGCGTTGGTGGCGTATCTACTTCTTTTTTTGTATATAATTTCATTGTCTATAATAGCTTGTATATTAACACTGTCTTAGACCAATGTCTTAAACCTTCTTGTGCATGACAATTTATGTTAGTAAGGCGAGCATTGAACCTGCGAACTGAACTGCGAATGCAACACGGACTATCTGAAATTGACAATTCTTTTCTCTTAAATCTTAATGAACGGACTATAATTTAAAATAGTTATTATAAAATCGGTCCAGCCGTTTTAAAGTTAAGTACTTACTAACGAACAGCTTTTATTTTATTTATAATATATTGACACGAAATATAAAAGGCTCGGACAGAAAATTCAGTTAACTGCGCAATTCCAGGAAGACTTCTAATAATGACGCAGGGTGGCACGGAATAATGAGTTCTATAACAATACGCACAAAATCGAAAATAGATTGTCGTGCGATTATCTTATTTACATTTGAAACGAATTTGCATTTCTCATAAATCAAAAGGTCTAGGGACAGGAATAAGCTAATTCCAGAAAGAGTTCTAAAAAACCGCAGGGTGACACGGAATAATGAGTTCTATAACAATACGCACAAAATCGAAAATAGATTGTCGTGCGATTATCTTATTTACATTTGAAACGAATTTGCATTTCTCATAAATCAAAAGGTCTAGGGACAGGAATAAGCTAATTCCAGAAAGAGTTCTAAAAAACCGCAGGGTGACACGGAATAATGAGTTCTATAACAATACGCACAAAATCGAAAATAGATTGTCGTGCGATTATCTTATTTACATTTGAAACGAATTTGCATTTCTCATAAATCAAAAGGTCTAGGGACAGGAATACGCTAATTCCAGAAAGAGTTCTAAAAAACCGCAGGGTGACACGGAACAATGAGTTCTATAACAATATGCACAAAATCGAAAATAGATTGTCGTGCGATGATCTTGTTTCATTTGAAACGAATTTGCATTTCTCATAAATCAAAGGGTCTAGGGATTAGAATAATTTGTAAAGAGCTTTCTAGACGTGTGGTGAGTATTAAAAATACGTGCACGACTTCGTCGGGGACAGTTTCTGTCTTCGACACTAGAGGGGTTACACGCAGAGCTGGGCCTCCCCAGGTACCGTCTGGGCTCTCACCTGGCTCGGGCTTGACCGCCGGGGCGGCGTGAAGACTGAAGTAACCCCTCCACTACCCAACCGACTCAAGACAACAAGCCTATGACCTGCTCCTAATTAGGGGTAGCGGTAGACACCGCTGGCAGGGGGCCGAAGCCCCGAACCAGCCACCGCACGTCCCCTGAGGGACTTTGTGAAGACCAGAGAGCGGGGACAGTTGAGTTCGAGCTACAGAGCGATAAACATCGAAGCAAATAGCGACCTCGGCGATCATTCTTGACTATTATTGAGTATTGTATGAACGTTATATATTGTTTTAATTGTCTTATTTCTACTTCTAGGAACCCCTCATTCCTTCAGTACCTACCTTCAGGGCACGTCATCGGCAAACCGGAGCCTCTGTTCGCCAAGATCGAGCCAGAGCTGCTGGACAGTCTCCGCGCCAAGTACGCGGGCTCACAGAGCGACAGGACTGAGAGAGCTAACAAGGTAAGCCTGATGAGGATGCCTGGTGATCACCTTTACTGATAAGACAGCCCATTGTTTAATTACTTTTTAACTGTAGGTTAGGTAGAATATTCTGTCCGTCTATCTATCTAGAATTACCAATTCACCAACTGTTGAAAAGGATATAGTGGTTTAAGCGATCACATGCGGCCCTAAGTGTTGTGGGTTCAATCCCCACATGGGACACCACTTTGTGTAATTCAAAAATTGTTGTTCTGAGTCTTTGTGTTCTTTGTGTCCGTTTCATGTATGTTTGTAAAGTACCTCGCGACACAGGATATATTCCTAGAGCGGGAGTTGTCTTGATACAACCCGCAAGGCCTCACATAAAACCGGTGTTAAGTGATACTTACAAAGTTTTTAACCGAATGTGTTAGACTACCAGAGACCCAGCTCTTAAGTCTGCAATTAGAAGGCGTCAACGATATTGTATCTGTTGAGTTGCAAATGCCTATGACCCGACCGGAATACTCGTTTGCCACCTACACTAAACGCTAAATGTTTTTTTTTTTTAGCAAAATGGCGTCGATACTTCTTCTGCGGCTGGAGTTAATGTAGCTGAGTTAGAGAAAGCTATTACAGAACAGGTAAGAAGTAATAATGAATTTAAAAAAAAAACGTAAATATTATACTGACCTATGGCCCGGCTTCGTTCGCATATAAGTCGCATTTCTAGATGAACACGACCTTTTCTGTACCACTAACAATGTCAGCAAAGTTTTCTTAACGTCGGTTTAGTAGTTAAAGCTGAAAGCGTTACAAACACACCCCTTTCGCATTTATGGTTAAATTAAAAATGTTAATCCTTCTTCCCTTTACATGGGAGAGCCATGCTTCGGCAAAGATAGGCCGGCTCCACCGGTGTGATACCACGGCCTCACAGAAAACCTTTCGTTAAACAATTTCTCTGTTGCATTTCACGGTGTGGTGACGGATTAAGAATACGGAGTGTCACCACCCCTATTCATCTCGTGGGTGTCGTAAGAAGCGACTAAGGGAAAAAAACTAGGCAGGACAACAGCACTGCAGAGAGAAGGAAAACTTGACACAAACCCTATACCAACCCGTCTGGCCAGCGTGGTATAGTATAGGCCAAAACCTCCTTTCTGAGGAAAGGCCTATGTCCAGCAGTGGACTATTAAAGGCTGTCGATGATGATGATGATGATTTCACCGAGGGAATGAGGTTTCCGGAACCAACCCCCCCTATATCCCCTCCTCCGACATATCGGTATCATCAGTCCATTTTCATGTTCAGTTTAGAATAGAATAATCTTTATGGTACACCATTTCAGTAAATTATACATATTTTAGTATATTAAATTATGACCATGTATAAATGACTGCCTTATCGCTAAAAAGGAATATGTCACAGGCAACGTTTAGATGGAAAAATAGACTGTACATAGGTAATTTCATGGGCAGTTTTGGTGTGAAAAAAAGTGTAAAGAATTCATAAAATATTTATACAGCAAAGCAGCATTTGACAAGGAAAGTAACAAAGTAGTGTCGTCTAAGTGACTAAGGGAGCAAACTACGCAGGACACCAGCACTGCAAAGAGAAGGGAAACTTGACAGAAACCCTATACCAATCATCTGGCCAGTGTGGTATAGTAGGCCAAAACCTCAAAAAAAGAGGGACATAATATCCGTCCCTCCACAACTTTGTAGTCTACGACATCTCTGCTTGCCTACACAGGACACGACTTTCTTATAAGGTTTGTTTGCCACAAATTGTTGTTCTGAGACTGGATGTTCTTTTTGTCCGTTTCATCTGTTTGTAACCACGCAGTAATATTTATACTGCGAACTTGTCATTTCAAAACAGTTTATTATTGAATTAATAAAGTGAAGTTTTGCTGCAGGGTAACAAGGTTCGAGAACTGAAAGCTTCGACAAAAGACAAGTCGGTGTGGCAGCCGGAGGTGCAGAAGCTGTTGGATCTGAAGAAGCAGTTGGCTGCTGCGCAGGCCACTCCTCAGCCGGCAAAGGTAAATACTACTGATGAAGGGAAAACGGATGAAGTTTTTCATTGTGAGAGAGCCATGCTCCAGCATTAACCGCGATACACGACCTCACAGAAAACCGGTGTTACGTTACCGGAGCCAAAAAGGCCCCCCTTCCTCCCTCCCCTCTTCACAAAATTTCCCAACCAATTTTGACTGAACTTTCACTAACTCTTATTTAAGAAACTTACTTGATTTTACAAAATAATAATACTAAATGGAGGAAAGATTGGTTTGTTTGTAGCCAATGAACTCGAAAACTACTGGAGCGTTTTTAATAATTGATTTACTATTAGATTGCTACTTTATTAAAAATGAATATACATATATTTTTTTGAAAGTGAGGTCTAGGGTACAGTTTTATGTAAAACTAATTCAGCGCAATAAAATATGCAAAATATGTTTAGGCAGGAGCCTATTGGTCAAGTAATTAGTGATTCGGACTACTAAAAACTAGGCCGTGGGTTCTATTCCCACCGAGGACGCGTTGAGCATGATCATTTGTTCTATGTCTGGGATTAAATTATATTTAGAAAACACAAATGATACTATATTCATGAATACATACAATTCAAGTCAAAGCATTTAACCCGCCCCGCATCGCTCCCATTGCAATTCATTTAGGGCATGGTGTCGCGAAAATCTACCTGTGCAGCGGCGACAACTCACTGCGTGAAGACCATCGGCCCACACACCCTTAATGCCGCAGGTGCATCTATGTATTTAGAAATATATAAGTATGTTTATCAGCAGTCTGATTACCGTAGCACAGGCTTATGTCGGGGTACGAGGTATGTCGTGGTACCAGGGACTTCCTTTCTAGGGTATACCTGGTTCCCCGGCTATTGGTGCCCGAGACGGCGTGCGGTTTTAGTTGGTTCGAGTCCGACATGCCACCGACAGGTGGTATCCGAGGGGATTTCCGCACGGAAAAAAAAATAAAAATAAAAAAAAGGCTCTGCCTACTTTGGCAATAGACGGTCTTCTGTCTTAGAGATGTGCCAGGTTATTATCAAATTATTTCTTTATTACAGTCTCCCTCGACGAAGAAAGCGGACCCTAAGGAGCGTCTAGCAGCACAACAACCCACACCAGGCTCTGGGGAGACCGTACAGGAGTTAGAAAAAGCGATCGCTGAACAGGTATGGACAGGTGTTGCCATAATTTATAAATAGAAAAATTAACATGCACAAAAAGTTAGGAATAATCGTGTATTAAATACTAACTTATTCAAAAACTGACAAAATAAATTTTATTTTTCGTGTGATGACGGATTAATGGCACAGCCATTTAGAAGCACAGTTTTGGGATATAATTCACCAGTTCCCAGAATGTGCAGAGCTCTAAATGAATATTGCACGGACTCAATTGACGTTTTTGAGATCAAATATCATAAATATCGCAGAGTATTGTGTGAAAACTTACCCAATTAGCCACCAACCTAATTAATGCCTCCTAATGCTCTAAATATTTCTTGTTTTTTTTTTCTCTCATTACATTTTTAACTTACAGCTTACATTCTATTGAACACTGATTTAATTATTATTTTTATTGTTTTTAATTTTATTATTATAACTCGATTTGATGTACTGTAATATGTTGATACTTTGGAATTTTGATTGAATTTGTAAATAATCAACATAATTGTGAATATAATAACAATTATCATTGTAACTGAACTATATAATTACTTAATATTATGTAATTTTAGAGATGATATTATTGTGCATGTTGTATTCATCTGTTATTAGTTATGCAATTAGTTTTAAGCGAATAATTTGTGTGTCTCTTGTAATGAATTATTGTATATAACTGTTGGTGAATTAAATAAATAAATAAATTAAAAATACACCATCCCTATTCATCCCTTGGGTGTCGTAAGAGCCGACTAAGGCAGCAAACTACGCAGCACTGCAAAAGAGAAGGAAAACTTGACCCAACCCTAATACATGTATGTGTGTGTCCAAAACCTAATTTCTAAGAAGAAATCTATATCCAGCAGTGTTTATTCTATTTTTGATCTTTTCTACTGCTGTGATTTGGGTTCGATCCCCACATGGGATAACACTTTGTGTGATCCATAAATTATTGTTCTGAGTCCGGGTGCTCTTTGTGCCCATTTCATTAATGTTTGTAAAGCCCCCGCGACACAGGATATATTCCTAGTCCGGAAGTTATAAAGAAGAATGAACTTCTACACCATAACGTTTTTTATTATCAGGGTGATAAAGTCCGCAAGCTGAAGGCGTCCACAAAAGACAAGTCGGTCTGGCAGCCCGAAGTGAGTGTACTCCTCGATCTGAAGAAACGACTCGCAGGGCTACAGATAAACAAATAAATAATATATCGTATTTATTGAAAAATTCTTGTTTTTTATTTCTACCCACTTTTCCTGAATGACTGCCTGGTTCATTGCATTCATCAATACAGAACTTAAACCACTGGGGCTACAAACTTGACATTTTGGCAGCTTTTTTTATGGTATAAGGGGCAAACGAGCAGAAGTGTGAAGCCGCCCTTTGGGGTCCCTCCCGCTGTCGGCTCCGGTAACCTCACTCAGTGAAAGGCAAGAAACAGAATTGTTTAACACCGGTTTTCTGTGAGGCCGTGGTATCACTCCGGCTGATGCTTTTTATGTTGTAAGCAATTGACTAGAGTTGACGACCGGATGGCGTAGTGGTTTGTGTCGGACTGCTATTCTAAAGGTCGCGGGTTCGATTCCTGCTCAAGTCAAACATTTGTGTGCATGTACATTTAATGTTTGAATTGGTCTGGGTGTATCTATGTATAATATGTGTGTATTTACAAAAAAAGTATATATGTATTTATATCAGTTGTCTAGCCATAGTACAAGCTCTGCTTAGTTTGGGACTAGATGGCGTTGTGTGAATGTGGTAGAATATTAATATTATAGAATATTCTTATAATTATTAACAAGCATTTTTGGAAATTGCAACCCTAAGGAAGTAAAATAAGAGATGAAAAGTTGTATTGTAGTCCATCATTTTCAAAGTTAGAAACACACAGTAAGGTTAGTTAGTGAACAATAAATCTACCCCTAATAGGTTGAAGTCAGTTTTTCATTTTTCTTTTTCTGTAATTTTTTAAATATGATCAAACATTTTCTTTTTTGAATTAGAAATAAATATGGTATTTCCCTCCAAATACTAAGACCGTAGAGGAGGGCTTTTTCGAAGGACAAGCTGTGAAAGAAAATCGGTTGCCTGATAATTAGTTCAAAATGAATGTTAAATTAGAATCACGGGATTCATCATCAGGATCATTTGGGATCAGACGGCCGTGTGTGAGTTGTGTAATATAAATTATTATTTATTTGCGATGGTTCATTTTATATTACCTCTCACTTGAAATAGGAAGAAAAGGCCTATTTTTGTTGGGGACCACGAATGTAAAATAAGCAAATCATACCTACAGACTTAAAATATTACATAGTAAACTAAAAAAGAAGTACACTAATTCATTCCTTCAACATACTGCTTTTTTATTTAAGTATGTTCACCAAAATGTTTGAGTTCACTAACGCAGCAATACCATATCGACAAATTAAGGATTAGATGTACGTGATTTTTCAAATAATCGACTGATCTATTACTGCAAATAAAAAAAGAACTAATTTACCAAGCTATTTTTTTAAATGATCGGTTTTATTCACTCAAGACTTTAAGAAACTGACTAAATTTTAGCTGACCGCTAATAATGATTGATATAATTAGCTGGCATTCCAACATCTCAATGCATGAAGTTATTAACGGGAAAGAATGCAGGTAGTTTAGTTTTGTACAAATACAATATTTTTTAAATTATCTACTGATATATATGCTAATATCTAGGAATCCCGCATGAAACTTCTACTGGTTTGCTCAGTGGCGTCTGTGTGAGATGACTTATGTTTTTATTATTTTCTTTCATCTTGCAACACTGCACGAGCGTCACGTCAGTCAGTCATGTCGAATAGTTGTTGTCCTTTGTCTGTCAAGTGTTTTAACAAAAATATTTCAATTTATCTATAATAATAATATGGAAATAAACCTAGAATTGTTTGATAAAATATGCCGAGTCTGCCTAATACAATCTGTCGAATTGAAATCCCTGTTTACAAATATAGACGGTGACGGTCGGAACTTACTTGAAATACTAGCTTTTACGGCGAATATTGATGTTAAAATTGAAGACAGCCTGCCAAAACAGGTGTGTAGGGCTTGCGAATCTATTATGTGTAAGGCAGACGCATTCAAACGTCGTTGCCTTGAGTCTGAGACCATTTTGCATAATGTTTACCGCAATACAAACGAAGTCACGGAGAAAACAAAATGCATTCAAAACTATTCAATTAAGGATGAAAAGACAGATTTAAAAGAGAAATTATGTGAATATAGTACTCTTGTATCTCCAACTCCTTCAAATAGCGGCTCGCACTATGATTTAAATAAGAAAAACATAGATTTTCCAATATGTTCAACAACAGGTCTTAGTCTCAACAAATTTAGCCAAGAATTCTCTGATAAAGGAGAGCAAACAGTTAAGAAAGAAACACTAAGTATTATTGAAGAAGAGAATCAGTATTTGGACCATTTTGATGATGATCATTTTGACAGTATTCCTTTAGATAGTCTTAAGAAAAACCAAGAAGTGAAAACGGTGAACAAAAAAATAGGTACCCGTTACGAATGCTATTGTCACACACTTTTCTCAGATAAAGATGAATATAATTCTCATTTAAAAGAAAAAAAATGTAATGCCTACAAAATGTTAAAATCAAATAAAAGTAAACATAAAATTCAGTGTACAAAGTGTGATAAAGAATTTACTTCTGCAAACGGGTGGAAATACCACCAGAATATCCACAGAGAGGATAGTCCAATCTTACTCCAAAATACAGATAGCAATAAAGACACAAGTTCAAACAACAAAACGGAAACATTCCAATGTTCATTTTGTTTACGAAAATTTAAAAATAAAGTGTCTCTCTCCGTTCATGTGCAGAGACATGAAGAAACCAATAGCATAAAACATGTATGTGAAATTTGCAAACGTGAATTTAAATACAAGGCTTATTTAGAAAACCATGTACTAGCTGTACATTCTAGGACAAACGGATTTACTTGTGATATTTGTATGCAAAGTTTCTTGAACAAAGAAGCACTACAGACTCACAAGAAAAGTCATGAAAGTGAAAGAAAGCACCGCTGTTCCGTTTGCAATAAGGCATTTCAGATGTTATGTACTTTAAAAGAACATATGCGTACACACACAGGTGAAAAGCCTTTTTTATGTTCCCAGTGTGGAAAGGGCTTTAGTCAGAAGACCAATTTAGCTCAACACACGAGAAGACATCAGGGTTTAAAACCCTTTAAATGTGAAAGTTGCGAAAAAAGGTAGGAGGCTTTTATCTAGTTTTTGTTAATGACGACCGGATGGCGTTGTGGTTTGTGTGATGGACTGCTATTCCAAAGGTTGCGGGTTAGATTCCCGCTGAAGTCAAACATTTGTGTGCATGAACTTTAAAGTTTGATTTGGTCTGGGTGTTTCTATGTATAATATTATACATTTACAAAAAAAAGTATATATATATTTATATCAGTTGTCTAGTACCCACAGTACAAGCTCTGCTTAGTTTGGGACTAGATGACATTGTGTGAATGTGGTAGAATATTATATTATTATTATAATCTGAATCATTGGTTTTGTGACGTTTATAACCATCTTGTGTGTGGAGATGTACCCCAAAGGGTAGTCATGTATATTTTCATCAACAGCCTTTTTAATAGTCCACTGCTTGACGTAAGGCTTCTCTTAGAAATGAGGTTTTGGCCTTATATACCACGGTGGGAACACGGGTTGGCATAGGTATGTTGTCCGGTCAATGGCACTGTACGGTGCACCGGTGTGGGCGGCGGCTCTGACCGCCCAGAATAGGGCACGCCTCTGGCGCCCTCAGAGGGTAATGGCGGTCAGAGCCATACGCGGTTACCGCACCGTTTCGACGGAGGTGGCATGCGCGTTGGCCGGAACTCCCCCGTGGGATTTGGAGGCGGAAGTGCTCGCCGAAGTTATCGGCGAGTGGCTGACTCCCGGGCGGAGAGCGGATTTCGGCCTCCGCCCGAGGATGTGCGCGAGTGGTGCGAAGCCGCTCGCCGAGCCACGATGGTTCGTTGGTCGTTCCGGCTGGAGACTCCACGCGCTGGCTTCGCCGCCGTGGAGGCTCTCCAGCCGGTCATCGCCGAGTGGGCAGGGCGGTAGCACGGGACCCTTTCCTTCCGGCTGACGCAGGTGCTTTCCGGGCACGGTTGCTTCGGAAAGTACCTGCACTCGGTCGCTAGGAGGGAACTGAGTCCCGCCTGCCACCACTGCGACTGCAGTGAGGACTCGGCCCAGCACACGCTGGCGGTCTGCCCCGCATGGGCGGCGCAGCGCCGGGCCCTCGCTGCAGTCATCGGAGTGGATCTCTCGCTACCGGCCGTAGTACGCTCCATGGCCGGTAGCGACAGTTGTTTTACCGCGGTCGCAACCTTCTGCGAGAAAGTAATCTCGCAGAAGGAGGCGGCGGAGAAGGCCCGGGAGGACGACCTCCACTCGGACCCGATCCGCCGCCGGCGAACCGGGCGGCGGAGGCGCGCCTATCACCGCCTCATGCCGCCCTGAGTGTGGCCGCGGGTGGAGGGGTGGGTTTCCCCTCCACCCGCATTAGTTTGGCCAGCCGCGAGGGGGCGGCGTCCGCGTGTGCCGGACGTCGCCTAAAGAGAGGATAATTTTGAGACGGGGCCCGCAACAGGAGCGGGCCGGCGCTAGGAGGGGTCCGGATGTCTTAATAACAGCTGTTCCCGGATCCCTCCTGTTACAGGCGCAGAGTGGCACACCGTGTGGTTTTAGTCGGTCCGAGTCCGACACACCACCCCGCCGCAAACCCCGGAGGGGTGACGGTCCGAGGGGATTTCCACACGTTAAAAAAAAAAAAAAGGTATGTTGCAATATTCCTTCTCTTTGCAGTGCTGTTGTTCTGCCTAGTTAGCTCCCTTAGTCCACTTTTACGACACCCACGGGATGAACAGGGGTGACACTCCGTATTCTAATCTGTCACCACCGCTCAAAAGTTAGTTAACCATAAATATTATAATAGTTTTTTTTTCAATCTTTCAGATTCGTCTCCAAAGGCGAGTTAGATGCTCACACCCGCAAACACAGCGGCGCACACCCATTCGTCTGTGATGATTGTGGGAACGGTTTCACAACTTCAAGTGCTTTAGTCAAACATCGAAGGATCCACACCGGAGAGCGTCCTTACCAATGTGATCTGTGCCCCATGAGATTTGCAGCATCCGGTACTTTGAAGAATCACAGAAGGACTCACACCGGCGAGAGACCTTTCCAATGTTCATACTGTGAGAAGGCGTTTGTTCAAAGAAATGATTTGATATCTCATATTAGGTGCCATACTGGCGAGAGGCCATATATCTGTAATCAATGTGGACAGTCTTTTAGAAAAGCCAGCGGGTTGAAAGCTCATGTTAAAATGCATATTAAGAACCCAATAGTAGGAGTGAATGCGATATTAACTAGCATGCACTGTATGGAGCAGTGAGTGTTAAAAGTGCACAGTGAATTTAAGCACCATGAAACTAATTTTATATTTAAAAAAAAACCTACATCAAATCAGTATTCTAAAAATTTTTTTTTTTCATAGTACTAAATGATAGGAGCAAGGCAGCCATGTTTAATTTGCCATTGGAGAGTCATAAATCCGCACCGAAATATTGACCAGATTCATACCACTGCCTCTCAAGAAACCGGTGTTAGGTTATCGGAGGTCCTCAACCCCCCCTTCTGAAAGGTGGGAGAGGCACCTTAAAAAAAGAACCCTGAGCGCGAATTCTTTTATAAACAAACAGAAAAATAATCACCATTAGAATCGCATTTTTTTAAACAATTATTCATTTCTGTGTCAACATGAATGAAGATGTATTATATTATAAATCAACGACAATTTTTAATACTTTTTAAATCGGGACCAAATATTTTCAGCATTCTAATCTTAATAGTTAATTTATTGACGTGTATTAATTTATTTCGTGTCAAAGTTTTCAAATTCTAACTTCTAAGTATTATGTTTTATTTTTTAACAGACTTCAAAAAAAGGAGGAGGTTCTCAATTCGACTGTATTTTTTTTAAATTGATAAGCACCGTTTTATTGACTGCAATTCAAAATTGAATTTTGTAACCGTTCCGCAAACATTAATATGTCTAGACTAGTTATTAAATCTAGTTGTATTGCAGAAAAACTAGAGCCGATTTTATTATGCGTGTGTTAGTGACAGCTATATTTTACTATAAGTTTTCTCACCCCCGTGCTGGAGGAACTATTGGAAGTGAGGCTCACTATTTTAAATCCTTTAGTATCATTTTATTTTTCATCAGTATTATTAGTGATGGTTCACCGGCCTTCAGGATGGTCTGCTGGGCATCCCTCCCAAGAGGGGTCTAGTGTCTGCGATCCTGGCGGTTCAGCACCGCCGCCCCACCGTCACGTGGAGGCTCTAAGAAGTATATATAATAGACTTGCAACGAATATTCGGTTACTATTCGGTATTCGGCCTATTCGGCTGCTTTTATTATATTCGGCCGAATACCGAATATCTACATATTATTCGGCCGAATACCGAATACTTAAATAATATATTTTGTCATTGAGAAATAATTGGTAAAATGAAAAATTAAAATCGATTGATTACTTATATATTCATATTTTCATTTCTGTTATAATCATTTAAGTAGTCATTGGTGCATAACACAGGTACATAATCATCTTCTGAATAGGAAAAATGGAGGATTCTATGTATTTGAATTATTGTGGTAATCAAAATTTAGAAGGGTAAGGTTCTCATTTCTTTTACAATCATTTATTAAGTAGTCATTGGTACATAAAACAGGTACATAATTTAATTCACGTCTGTACAAGTTTTTGGCGCTAAAATCCAGACGAATACTTTTGCCTAATATTCGGCTATTCGGTTAGGGGCCTCGCCGAATATTCGGTATTCGGTATACTGCCGAATATACTATTCGTTGCAAGTCTAATATATAAGCTTTACACCTCTTCTGTATTACATTTGCGAAATGTCAATCTATTCCAGTAGTGTTTGTGTACATGATGATACCAGTTGATAAAATAATCCGATTGAAAAGCCTATTTATTATTTTTACAACTCTACCAATTTACTTCTCATTACTTTCGTTGCGGGTTCCAAGACACTTTAACTTTTCCTGGGACTTCCCGACACTGCTGTTAATCCTGGTGTACAGGAGTAACAGTGGGCTGTGGGAGGAAGTTCTCCCAAAAAGTCCCACTTTGATTAAAATGGAGAGAATTTTACATCATGACAAATAATTATCATGATTCGGATCAATTGTATACTTTATCGAGTTCCTCTTTTCACACTCTCCCAAGATTTATTCTAATAATTAAACCTCCTTTCTAAGGATAGGCATGGGCCTATCCTGGACATGGGTCCAGCAGTAGACTATTAAAGGCTGTTGATGTGAATTAAACGAGCGAAATGATAATTAAGAAGGCGTCATGATTTTATTTTTGTGACTGAAAACAAGATTAATATCTGTAATGACTATGTCAAAAGTAATACAACAATAAATATCATCATCATCATCATCAACAGCCTTTACTAGTCCACTGCTGGACATAGGCCTCTCCTTAGAAAGGAGGTTTGATTATTAGAATAAATCTTGGGAGAGTGTGAAAAAAGAAACTCGATAAAGTATATCAATAAATATCTATTTAATAAATTTTTACATATTTTAAATTCAGGTCTGTTTCCTAAAGTTTGCGAATCATTACGGTTTCGTTTTCTAACTTTTTAAATATCAGCACAGTGAAGAAGTCCACAAATATGGTTGAATTCTATTTGCAAGAATGCTTTCGCTTTTTAGCACAGTATGTTTGTACATACAATCTAAGATTTTGTATAGAAAGACTGCTACGCAATTCTGGCCTCTTAATATTTTTCTTGAGGTATCAGAAAGCCATACTTATATTATTAATGTGAGTTAGTTTGTTTTTTACTAACCTCTTTCACGCTTAAACCACTAAACCGATTTAGAAATTATTTCACCTATTCAAAACTAAATGATTAGCGAGTACCATAGGCTACTTTTTACCGCGATGACCGACATTTACGATAATTATGATACACCACGTACTCCTGGCTCCTACGTTCCCAAAGAGCCGGATATCCGGAAGAATTTTTCTCCCGTCAAAAAAAAGACGCCTACGTGGGTTCAAGTTACCAAAGTATTACTTAGTTTCGACTTAAATGCTTTATTTGAGAAAGCACTATATCAGGCCCTACTTTTTACTTTTGTGGATAAAATACGAATAAAAAACTGCACAGATGGCGCAGGGGTTTAAGCGGTCACCTCACTGCTTTCTACTACGCTGAGTGTTGTGGGTTCGATCCTTACGTGGGACAACACTTTCTGTGATCCAGAAACTGTTGTTCTGAGTCTGGGTGTTCTTTGTGTTCGTGTCATGTGTATTTGTAAAGTCCCCACGACACAGGATATATTCCTAATGCGGGATTATTTTCCGTAACTGCCAGTGACGTCACCGCAACACAACGTTAGCGATAGAATTTCTCAAGTGTGATGCCTGCCATTTGATCTTTGATAAATTCTAAATATAATGTGTATGATATATTATTATCTAATGAAATGAGTGTTGTAATGAATGACAAATACACATTTTTATCTATATTTTGTGTTTTATTATCGTACATAAGTATCATAATTATATACATATATTTTGAGGTATAGGAGGGCAAACGACCTTGGCCCGACTTTCATTAGTTTTGACAAATTAAGACCTTTCTTCTTGTAACAGTTTTACTGTAAAAGTCTTAACAATAAAGAAACAACAAGCGTACGATTGCGCGGCCATAACTTCCAAGGTGACGTTTGCGGTGACAAAGTGAAATTTGACAAATTTAGTCTTCAATATAAAGAATTAGATCTCTAAGTAGTTGCTGAGATCTCCGTAGCCACGCCATCCTCCACATTTTGTTCGCGGGGTCAACTTAAAACTTTTATAGCTTGTTGATTTCTACTTTGTCTATTTTTTGGTAGTTTTTTTTTTCTGTTTCGATAACGTTGGTGGAGCAATCGAAACGCACATTGCGCGATAGGCTACGGAGCGCATACACCCATCGGGGGCAGGACAGGAACGTCCTGGTTCCCACACAGAAGAGGGTCATCTATAAGCTGTAGATTGCCTGAGGTACGTCGGAGTACCAGGGCTTTCGTCCTAGGGTATACCTGGTTTTCCGGCTACTGGTACCTGGAGACAGCGTGCGGTTTTTGGTCGGTTCGAGTCCGACATGACCACCCCACTGGTGGGTGGTATACGAGGGGAGTTCCGAAAGAAAAAAGGTTGGCCAACCGCCCGACCATGGATACCTGCAATCGGGCCCTCTCTCCCACTAAGCACGTCCACAGGGCCCCTCAATAGGGGCCCATTAATTCCTGCCAGATCAACAATCGATAATCAATGTTTATCATGGAAAAACATATTTATTTCGGCAAAATCCAGTTGTAATGACTGACTACTACTAGTGCTCAGTCAAGTTCGTAGGGGCCCCATTCTGCTAATGGGCCACGGGCCTCCTATAGGCTAGAGACAGGCCTGCAACTTCAGTGCTTATTATTGAGTTGCCAGTAGAAGGCGGAGGTAGTAGTGACAGAAACGTCAATTTCTTTGATTCATTCCGGTCCGTAAGTAGTTTCAATTTAATGAAAAACATTGGAACAGAAAATAAATTATTTATTTTCAATAATATCCAATTTCATCAGATTAACGTATCGATATGAATTAAAAAAAAGTAATACATAAAATTGCAAATTTTTTTTTCGTCTTACAATTTCACACAGAATTTATTCGGAGGTAAAAAAAATAATGTTTTAAATCTGTCTTGAGATCGTAAAATACATCACAATATAAAATTGCCATTTGAAAATATTTTAAAAAAGTATTGCCATGATTGAGGTGCTTACACCATTTTTTAACGCTAAAATATCAAATAATAAAAATAATAATTATATTTACATATTTTTTTTTCAATTAATACTGCCAGAATTATCTATCCTCTGCATCTGGCCAAAATAATGGAATTTGAACACAAAAAATATGCAAAAATCGCGAAGGTGTAAGTCGCCCTCGTAAAAATTTCTAAAATTTTATTCTTTTTACATCTAAACCTATTTTATTTATTTACAATACACTGCACTGAGGTAACGGCTCCCAACCGGAAGCCTTTGTACTGATTCTTTATTTCCTGTCTAGATTATTATTAATAATAATATCATACTGTCTCGAAGTATTTTTTTTTCTCTAAACGTCTTTACGTATCTAGAAATCTAAAATAACAATATCTTATATATGTAATAACTATTATTATTATTATTATTTATTATTAACAATGGTTTTCGATTATTGGCACGTCACTGACTCGATATTATAATTGTATGAAATAGTAGAATTTTATCACAAAATCGGTCCACACTGAGTGTTAAGGGACTTATGTCTTAAGACATAAATGCTAACACTTCCCTAAGTTACCCCTAATCCCAATATTAATATCACATCCATTCCGATTGACCGATAATGATGAATCGTAACCGAAATATAGTTTTAAAAATATAACATGTCAATGATTTTTCCAGAAAAACTAACATGAAATAAAACAAAGCATTATTGTCTCTGGTAAATTGAAACTATTTCATACAATTAATACAAATTTTAAGACTAGGTTTTATACCTTCATTTCGCTTATAAACAATTATTTGTAGTTATTGAGCATTATTTATTGTTTTATTATTTTTAGGCGCAAATATTATTATAATTTGAATATCGAAAAGCATAATAAAATTAATAATGTTTATAAGCAAAACAGCCATCTTGTTACAGACACGATACACACTTAACTCCCCCAAATCTTAAGTCATACAAATGCCGCTAGTGTTAAAGTGTTCTACATTTAAAACAGAAAAAATAAAATATGTTCCAAATTTAAGTTTCCCAAAAAGACTTCTGTCACACTAGCGACATCTAGTTTGACCTTCACGTTCCCAAGTTGCCATAGACAAGAATCGAACTTCAATTCAATTTTATCCGTATAAATAAGAGTCGTACTAGATCTATGGACCTCATCGAAAATAATTAAGGACCAGTGGTTACTAAGTACTAATTTATTTAAAAAAAATACGCGGTACTTGGCAGTTTTTAAACGTCAACTGTGTCAAATTGTGACTTTATTTTGACAGGTGAAACGTCAAACGATCTATCGTCTCAATTCCACCCGAATGTACTATAATATGTTTTCCTTGCAAATCAATGCCAATTGCTATTTCATAGTACAATTACATAAAAAAAAAACACGTTTTTAAATCCAAAATTTGACACAACAACCTACGAAGTCAGCTGCCACAGATAATACTATAAATTGAAAACTGCAACTGTTTCCGAACTTAAGCACGTTTCTTACGGTCTAAAATAAAATCATAAAAAATAATCTATATGCAAATATAACGGATATAAAAATAATAAACTTCATTTAATTTAAGTTTGCTTGATACTCCGTAAAGAGAGTAAATAAGGGTGATTATGTTTTAACCAAGTTTGTCTTATTAGTGGAATCATCTCAAACTCTCCAACAAATGGTCAATGTATTTTGACCTTTGTAGCCTAGTTTGACCATTGCAACGTCACAAAAAGGACGAACTTATGTTTAAAACATTTCCACAAAAGCTGCTTACAAAAGTTAAGTAATATTGCAAAGAAAATAAATCAACATTTTTAATCTATGGTTTTGATAGTAGTTTGACTACAACACAAACCAGAGAAAATAATTCGGTAACTCTACGATAGATGGCACTTTTATTAAACTAGATACACTCGGCCGTAGGGGTGGATACCTTTGCCGTATTCATTTTACAACAAATACGGTTCACGACTTGCTTCTCTATACGCAGCGCGAACTGAAAAAAAAAGTAAAATTTTCAACAATCTTATCTCTACACTTCAAACCAATTTCAACCTTATCAGTCACGACTTCTAATACAATTTTAGCCTAGCACATCGTGGCTATCATGGAGTGCTGCGAAAACAAGGTACCTAAAAACAACCTACCTTAAGTTAAGCGGTTACCGACATATGTATAAATAGAGGGTTGCTTTTCGTATCTCCTTTAATCAGCCCTGGCTTGTTCCTCGATCAACTAAAGCCAGATAGATGAAACCTTTTTTTCATATTAGATTATATATTTAAAACATTAAACCATTTGACATTTGAAACATATAATAAACAAAATTGCAACCGTTATCACGTGACAGTTAACGTCAACAAGATCCATTACGTCATTAACCAATGAACAAGCTGACAGCTGTCAGTTGGTATAATACCTACATAATCCATTGAGTACAGTAGTCTATGGATCACTGTCGGTTTATTCAGTAGTTAATAACATTAGCGGCAAATTTAAAAAAACAACTTTACTTTTCAACTTTTTTTGTTGTGTAACATCTTTACGTAGCGTGTAACAGGGGGCCGGTGAATGGCGCGCTTTTTGATTAGACCAATGAACGGGCGCTAAACCAGATGTCACACATATACGACTATTCTAAGGGTCATCATCATCAACGGCCTATAATAGTCCACTGCTGGACATAGGCCTCTCCTTAGAAAAGAGGTCTTGGCCTACTATACCACGCTGACCAGACGGGTTGGTATAGGGTTTTTGTCAAGTTTTCCTTCTCTTTGCAGTGCTGTTGTACTGCGTAGTTTACTCCCTTAGTCGGCTCTTACGACACCCACGGGATGAATAAGGATGGACACTCCGTATTCTTAATCCATCACCTAACGTGTGGACTGAATAGTAAGGGGCACTCACATTTTTTTTGTAATTACTGTTGGAACGAAGTTCCTTATCGCGCCTTGTGAAAGGGGGCTAGACGGAAAAAAATCTCACGAAAAGTTGTAACGACACTTTTTATGTCAGTCATTCAGCGCCATCTATCGAATAGATAAATCGATAGGAAATCATTTCTCAAGGAGATTTTACCAATGTATAAATTGTTTTAATTAGAAACCAACTGAAAAATATGTAGGTAATAGCCGCTTTCATAGATGGCGTTGTAATTAAAATCGTGTCGAATCAGGTTTACTCGATCGTCACAACTTCGTTCCTATCGGGTGTCCCACGACACCACACGGCTTTTTTTTACTAAAGCTTATTTTTGAGCCAATTATTATAATTAGGTAGCTGTACCGTGACACGCTTTGCTGTGACATATTGTGGTTACAATATTTTATATTTGGTTATATCGTGTCAAAATTTGAGCTCAATTGGTGCAGAAGTTTTTGAGATTTGAAAGCATACACAAACCAACTTAACATTTTTATATATCATCAGCTTATCCACTGCTGGACATAGGCCTCCCCCATAGCACGCTTATTCGATCAATTTTCGGCTTTTCTCGATATTTTAGTAATAATAGAATTTTTTTACACATGTATGGATAAAAACACTCACCCCATCATTTAGCGCTAGCTTTCTCTAAGAAGTCCATTTTCAATTTCAGTTCTATCAGAAACAGTTGTTTCTGCAAAGAAAATATCTCCTCTTTCTGCCGCAGCTCCATGTTGAGGATCTTCATCTTCGCTTCGTGTTCCCATATGGCGTGCTGTCTCTTCGCAGTAAAATATAATCTCTCTTCTTCCGTCGCTGTACCGCTGTCATGCTTGATCTGCTCCTCTGTCTTCTCCTGACTCCTATCGTGTCCATTTTTTCGTTTAATCTCATCTAAATTGCTCAAATTTAAGGGAGTATTTGATAATTCGTTTAATTTTTGTAGGAAATTTTGCTGTATCCTAGCTTGTTCGATAGCTTGGAGGGGGTTGGTTAGTATGGGGAGGGCTGGCATGGGTAAGGGGGTTAGGGGTAGTTTGTGGGGCGGTGGGGTAGGGGATGATTGGGGTATGATTTGAACTTGGGGTTCTAGGACGTTAGGCATCGTGTCTTCGCTTTCGTTCGTACTAGATAATCGACCGTTCGACATCTGGAAAGAAAATAATATAATTATTATTTGATTATTGATATTATTTATTATTGTAAGTAATTGTAGTTAACTTCACTTCACATAGATGGCGTTAAAGCTTATATAGTCTGAGTTTTGATGTTTTATACAGAACGATGTTTTACGTAGAATTACATAATTACAATTTCTTTTAATTACTGTGCTTGTATTCTTTTATGCTGCCGTGGCTTGGCAAAAGTCCACAAGCTTCAAGTCACAAACGCTTGGATGCCATTTACACATTACATGACATAATGACAGATAGTGTGTGTGTGTTGAGTGTGTTGTGGAGCTCCTTACGGGAGGCTTTCGTTCAGCAGTTGAGGGCAATAGGCTGATGATGGGTGTGTTCCAGACAGGCAAACATAACAGACGTGGTTGTGTCGGTTATTGCGTTTGAATTCACATATTTTTATTCAAAATATAAACAGCGATACTAAACACGAGTCGAACACCCCTTTTACAAGTTTGTGTTTGTGGACACTTGTTGAGACTTGCCAAGCGTGTAAACCTACTACTCGACCAAGCGTTTTAAACCAACGCGTGGAATGAGGCCTCCCCGCCCGAACCTCGCCTCAGGTACCGCGATCGTCTTATTACCGTCGGCAAACGTCGTCGCACGTGTTTGCTTTTGTTTCTGTTAGTTTCCATTCGTTTGTTAAGTTTATTATAATTCGTTAAATTGTTGTTAAATAAACATACTTATATACTTTTGATTTGTAAATATATACTTATGTTATAATACATAGACGCACCCAAAACGGGAATAATTAAATATCTGTAGATAACATAAAAAGCTAATTAAATTATTTAATATAAGACTTGACTAAGACCGATCGACCGATCCAAGTGGATTCTTCTGCTATCCGTACCCGAAGTCAATGACGTCACGTTTGACAGTCGCCTAGTTCGCTTGGTCGAGTAGTAGCATTAGACACTACTCATAACACCAGTTGTCTGCCAGTGAAATCTGTTCCACCGATTCCAGATCAAACAGAATTATTTTTAAATATTTTTAGTATGTAATACTAGGTAAACATTTTGATGTAAGTAGTGAAAAGGATTTCCAGCCAATTAGGGTTACAGGAGTGGGTGCCTGGCCGGACATCTGACACACAACGCCATCTAGTTTCAAACTAAGCAGAGCTTGTACTCCGAAACAGATATTTGCCGGTCATACAAACATATGGACCTACCCGGGAATCGAACCCGAGACCTCAGCACAGCAGTCGCATACTACCACTGCACCGCCGAGGCAGTCAAATAAGAAATAGATATAGTTACGTTGACAGGTACACAGTCATCATCCTTCACGCTGTGGCCACCGTCCGCGCTCGTGGTAGGATCCCCTTCTTCATCTGTAAAGAACACCATACCATGAAAATAGCATTTGACTATTTATATATGTACAAACAAACAATCGGTACCATAAGCTGACGTACGCATTTAATTAGTATCATCATCATCATCAACAGCCTTTAATAGTCCACTGCTGGACATAAGCATCTCCTTAGAAAGGAGGTTTTGGGCTGCTATAGGTACCACGCCGGCCAGACGGGTTGGTATAGGGTTTGTTTCAAGTTTTCCTTCTCTTTGCAGTGCTTTTGTTCTTCGTAGTTAGCTCCCTTAATAGGACACCCACAAGATGAATAGGGGACAATTAAATAGTATAGTTATATTTAATAATTTAGTACAGAGATTCCCAAACAATTTTGGGCTAGACACCCCTTTTCCAAAACGAACTGATATCGCAGACCCCCACAGGCGAATTACTTTAAAAATCCTATCTGTTGTTTTTTCCTATTAATACAAAATATTCACCTATTTAAAAACTTTGCGGTTGCTTAAGTGAGTAATCATGACATCATTTTCGCATCAAAATATGTAAATTAATATCAAGTGTAATTAATAATTTTTAAGTGTTGTGGGGTCAAACCCCACATGGGACGACACTTTGTGTGATCCACAAATTGTTGTTCTGAGTCTGGGTGTTCTTTGTGTCCGTTTCATATATGTTTGTAAAGTCCACCGCGACACAGCATATATTCCTAATGCGCGAGTTGTCTTTTTAAAAAAAGAAATAGGGAAAATAAGAAAATAAAAAAACAACGTTACATTACACGTGGTATTACAAAACTTAAAAAAAACATTAATATACACAACTTATACAGCATCTTGAAAGTTTCAAACAGAAACTTGTGTTAATTAATACGGGTCCATTTTTAGACCTCGATCCCCAAAATCAGTTTTCGTTTATGTCGACCCTAAGGGGTCGATATCGACCTAAGACTACAGCAGTTAAAAGAGACCACGGTCTTGCATCCGTAGGCTAGTTTTTTGGATTGGAGAGGCAACTGACAAAGGGAAGTAAACTGGCCAGTTTAAAAGAACTTACGTGTAAAATACATATATTAACTATATAATAATGTCAAGAAATCCAACCCTAACGTAGACAGAAAAGATAAGGAGTTAAGAGATAGAAAGAGAGGTAACTTCTAGGTGAATATAACTGAATAGGATTAGCAATGCGAAACCTGAATTGCACTTCATTGTGTCCGACCAAGGGTCGCTATTTGTTTAAACAATTCTACTCAGTGCACCTTCTGTACTTTCGTAGGATGAAGGTAAATCTATTGACGGTCTATCTCCTCAAAACCCACTTTGTGCAGTATCTAAGTATGTACGTCGTATCGTACAGGCGTGAGCGTAGGGTATTTTGAACCTAATGTCATTACTGCAGGGTATATTTTATATTGATCATCATTAAACTAATTTCTTAAGAAGTAACTTACCTTTGACATCGAGTGGGTGTATGTTCTGCCAGAGCATGCCGTCCAACAAGCTGGGCGGCTCTGGCTGCACTTGCTGGAACAATAAACACTGAAGTTTAAAGCTCCGAGAAGAGGGTAGTATTTTTTGAGGATCCTGATGATATCCGTGTGGTTACGGATCGAGAATACGGAAAGTCCCATCCTCTATTCATCCCGTGGGTGTCGTAAGAGCCGACTAAGGAAGCAAACTACGCAGGACGATAGCACTGCGACCAATCCGACCAATCTGGCTAGTGTGGTATCATCATCATCATCATCATCACATTAACAGCCTATACTAGTCCACTACTGGACATAGGCCTCTCCTTAGAAAGGAGGTTTTGGCCTACTTGGTATAATAGACCAAAACCTCATGTCTAAAGAGAGGCCTATGTCCAGCAGTGGACTAATAAAGGCAGTCGATGATGGTATGCGGTTATAGATAATGGTGACAATTTAGAAAATTTTATGGTAAAGTTTGGCTAAATAAAAGGTGGTGTTATGTGTGTATGTGATAAGGTTTTAAATACAATTTCGGTTCTAAGAACATGAAACCCTGCTGGGCACAGCAATTTTATTGATATTAGGTGTAATCATGTATGCCATTTAATTAAAATATTTATACACTAAATTAAACCATTAATTAAGTCTATCAGTACATTACGATCAACAATAACGTAAGGCAAATTGTATTTTAACATATTTCCTATAAATATCACATAAACAGCCTTTAATAGTCCACTGCTGGACATAGGCCTCTCCTTAGAAAGGAGGTTTTGGACTACTATAAATATAATATTTATTAATTGTTGTAAGGTATAGGAAATTATGTAAGTAAACAATGTTTCGCGTAACATTTTTAAATTCAATATCACAATCATACTCGTAATAAATAAATAATATCTATTGTAACCTATCTTCAAAAAAGTCTTCCAGAGAGTAAGGAATAATGTTGATATAAAATCACAATCATTTCATTTCACCTGTGACTGATTTACAAAACCACTGCTACTTAATTGTTATTATTACGCCAGCGCAAGAATTGCGAAAGGGCTAAATCAAAAACGAAAAGGTCGTAATCTTTGATAAAAAGAATTTTGATTGAATTTAATGTCATTTATCTTTGTCTACACTACGTTTACCGAGATGCGGTCTCCACTCAAGAACTCGTAGTAGTAGGACGCCCACAGGCCAGGTGGAGTGACGATTTGCGCAAGATGGCTGGCAGGAGCTGGATGCGAGAAGCCCAAAATCGATCTAAGTGGCGTGCAATGGGAGAGGCCTATGTCCAGCAGTGGACTGCGATAGGCTGATGATGATGATGATGATGATCTTTGTCTATGGCGTAATCACAATCACATGTGAAATCGCTGTGACTAATACCAATCATTTCATCGATATAAAAGTATCAATAATTTCCATGTCTAGTAAGTAGTATGCTTTTTGTGATAAGTATATTTTATTGAACTTATTTTTAAATATGCTATCAGATTTTATATATTTTGTGATGTGATGTAGCGTTATACATGTGAGTTTTTAACCTTTCTTCCCGTACATCAATAATAATATGTTTTACGTACAATGAATTTCAGTAAGTTATTGTTTACAAATCTGTAACTATACAAGTGTACATTCCAAAAGAAAAACGATTGAATTCAAAATATGACTGAAATTTTCGGAACCAATAGTTAATAAGTAGTTCGACTAATCGTCGCTAGATGTCGCTAGAGCCAAATTTGTCTCTCACTAGTAAAATTACCTGTGTATCGTGGGCGCGCATCTTGCACTTTTTCTTATAGTTCTCGTACCACATTTTGACCTGCGCAGGGGTGCGGGGGCGGTCTCCGCCGCAGCGTTTGTTCACCTCCTCACATATTGTTGACCACACCAACTGGGGACACGCAAATGTTCAGGTTATTGGAGATACTATTATGGAGGATGGAGAGAATGAAAGAAGAGAACTCATTGCACCGATCCCTAATAACTTTGGGAAAAAGGGCAGGGAGATGGCGAAGGAGAGACAATAGATATTACTGCTATTTTTAAAGCTAATACAGTAAATAATGCACTAAAAGCACGATAAACTGGTATTTATATAGTATTTCAATCAACATCATCACATCAGCCTTTAATAACCCACTGCTGGACAAAGGCCTCTCCTTAGAAATGAGGTTTTAGCCTACTATACCTCGTTGGCCAGACGGTTGGTATAGGGTTTGTGTCAAGTTTTCCTTCTCTTTGCAGTGCTGGTGTCCTACGTTGTTTTGCGCCCTTAGTCGGCTCTTACGACACCCACGGGATGAATTGGGGTGGTGACACTCCGTATTCTTAATCCGTCACTACACGGACATTATGTCTTTGAGACTAAAATATGTATAAAAGACTTACATAATTATATAATTGACTTTGTGGGTCCATTTTAGAAGCGCTCTACTATCACACCAACTTTTGAATGTACGAGTACACAAATTAGAATAAAATTCCAATTAACGCTGTCATACTGCATAATATTATTAATTTGCTGAGTACAAAGAGGTGTCACTTACAACAGTTTTGTTTGCCAGCATAATCATTCGACATATCACCTATCGGAGCAGAAAAGGATGCATTTTATATTAATCTAAACGTATCAAATAATTGTCCGTGTGGTGACGGATTATCACCACCCCTATTCATCCCGTGGGTGTCGTAAGAAGCGACTAAGGGACCAAATTAAGCAGGGCAACAACACTGCTGAGAGAAGGAAAACTTGACACAAACCCTATACCAACCCGTCTGGCCATCGTGGTATAGTAGGCCAAAACCTCCTTTCTAAGGAGAGGCCTATGTCCAGCAGTGGACTTGTAAAGGCTCTTGATGATCAAATAATTTGCCCTAACTGATTCATCAACGCAGACCCTAAACCGCTGGGTCTACTAACTTGACTTTTTAACAGTTGATGCTTTTTATGTTATAAGCACCCACTAAGAAAGGATTTTTGGAAATTTTACCTCTAAGGGGGTAGCGGGGTACGGAAGAGGGGGAATGATGGAAAGCGACAACCGCTGCCCATGAACGCCTGCAACTCAGGAGTCACAAGCGCGTTGCCGGCCTTTGAGGAAGAAGTACGCTCTTTTCTTTAAGGTTTAAAGGTTATATTCAAAACTTCATTACAACCTGCAAAGACCGGATGGCGTAGTGGTCTGTGTAACGGACTGCTATTCCAAAGATCGCGGGTTCGATTCCCGCTCAAGTCAAACATTTGTGTGCATGAACATTTAATGTTTGATTTGGTCTGGGTGTTTCTATGTATAATATGTATGTATTCACAAAAAAAGTATATATGTATTTATATCAGTTGTCTAGTACCCATAGTACAAGCTCTGCTTAGTTTGGGACTAGATGGCGTTGTGTGAATGTGGTAGAATATTATTATTATTGTCAAAGTTAAAAACAGATATAAGAAATGACCATGCAAGCGAATCCGCGTGCAATATATAGTAATTGATATCGTGTTTATTAATATGACCTAAAACTATGGTAGAAGTTATATAAATTAAATTAATATTAAAAAAAACCCCGACACACATCTTGCATTTGAAATTTGTCATAGTGTATGGTATTTTACTAGTCAAGCTCTTTCATTTGATACCCATATGAGGGCGTTGTGAAAAAATATGTAAGCCGCCATTTTGTGGCGGCGGCCATCTTGGACCGAATTCATCAAACCTAAGAAACCACACAACACAGCTAAGAACACTCTCGACTAATTCACCTTTCAAACAAAAAAACAAAATCAAAATTGGTTCATTTGTTCGGGAGCTACGACGCCATAGACACACACACAGACACGTCAAATTTATAACACCTCGTCGTGTTCGCGTCGGGGGTCAATGATTTAGGTTTTAAGAATAATGAACATGAAGCTAATGCCTATTTCGACATGTTTCGCCTCATATTATGGACAGGCTTGACGGATAAGATGGCTTCACAGAAGACTACTACTGGACATAGGCCTCCCCTTAGACGGTGCCCGCGCCGTTGCGGGCGCCTGGAGGGGTCTGGATGTCTTAATAACAGCAGCTCCAGGAGCCCTCCTATTACAGACGCAGAGTGCACACGTGTGGTTTTATCGGTCCGATTTCGACACACCAATCCGCTTTAAACCCCGGGGGGTGACGTAAAAAAAAGGCCTCTCCTTAGAAAGAAGGTTTTGGCCCTCTTTGCAGTGCGGTTGTCCTGCAGAGTTTGCTGCCTTAGTCGGCTCTTACGACAGCCTTGGGATGAATAGGGGACAATTAATTAGTATAGTTATATTTAATAATTTAGTACAGGCATTCCCAAACTATTTTGGGCAAGACACCCCTTTTCCAAAATGAACTGATATCGCAGACCCCCACAGGCGAATTACTTTAAAAATCCTATCTGTAGTTTTTTCCTATTAATACAAAATATTCACCTATTTAAAAACTTTGCGGTTGCTTAAGTGAGTAATCTTGACATCATTTTCGCATCAAAATATATAAATTAATATCAAGTGTATTTAATAATTTTTAAGTGTTGTGGGGTCAAACCCCACATGGGACGACACTCACACGGTGGTGACACTATATTCTTAATCCGTCACCACACGGAAAGTCAATTTTAATACTTTATTACAATCATTTCAATATGAAGGTGTACATATCTTGATATTATCAGTTCATAAGAAACTTTATAACATATATATATTAAACTGCATATTGTATTAACCCGACACCTGCATACTTGCAATAAAGTGAAATATAAAACCGAATAGTTTTGCAGTTACTGCTGACAACACAAACGGACACAACTCGTGTATGGTGTAACCTTCGGCAGTTATTGTTTTAATAACTTTTATATAAATACGAGTACGTAAAAATCATTCTTTGCATACCTTCTTCTAACTTGACGGGCTTGTTGGTCTAGTGGTTAGTGACCCTGTGTGCTAAGCCGAAGGTCGTGGGTTCAATTCCCACTCAGGATAAATTATTGTGTGATGAGCACGATGATTTATTCTCTGTCTGGGTGTAATTTATCTATGATATATTATGCATTTAGAAATATATAAGTATGTTTATCAGCAGTCTGGTTATCAAAGGCTCTGCCTAGTTTGGGACCAGACGGCCGTGTGTGAGATGTGTGAATTTATTATTATTATCTATTCAAATATATAAAATTGGAATGTCTGTTTGTAATGTCAAATTAGGTTTTTTTCATGCTCACACGGTTATTTGCACGATACCTATGCCTAAAAATCAGTTAATTTTTTTTGTCTGTCCGTAAACGACTGGTTCGATTTTGATAGTATTTTATTACCAGGTAGCTGTCTATATAAGGAGTAACTTAGGCTATTTTTCCTCCCTATCGATAAAAACTGGTTCATTTTATAAAAAGGCGGTAGCCTAGTGGTTAAGGCGTTGGACTTGTGATCAAGAGGTGGTGGGTTCAAATCCTGACCAGTACACTACCGACGTGGACCCACTCCAAACACAAGCAATTTAGCTTAGCGGGAGGGGTTAACGGGAATATACTAGTATTTTCGGTTACTAGTAGACCTTTAAAGAAAAAATTACTTGCCCGCCGAGCCTAAACCGCTGGTGCTACAAACATGAAGTTTTTGACAGCTAATGCTTTTTATGTTGTTAGCTCCCACTAAGAAAGGATTTTTAAAATTTTCACTCCTAAAGGGTTAAAATAAGGGATGAACGGTTGTATCTAAGTTCGTACCTTTTAAAGTTAGAAACATGAAATAAACACGCGAGCGAAGCCGCGGGAAATTGCTAGTTTAACAAATATTGCTTGCAGAAGCATATAACTAATCCCTCCCACACGCCCACTACTGCAACTCCTATACACCAGGATCAACAGCAGTGACCCACGAACACACCGAGTTATGACACTCGTGAACTCCAAGGAGTTAAGTTAAACTGTCTTGGAACCGGCAACGAAATTAATCAAAAGTAAATTAGAGAGAAGGAAGACTTGACACAAACCCAGTACCAACCCGTCTGGCCAGCGTGGTATAGTAGGCCAAAACCTCCTTTCTAAGGAGAGGCTTATGTCCAGCAGTGGATTTTCAATGGCTGTTAAAGTGATGTGATGTGAAATTGGAGGAGTTGGAAATATAATAGGTAAATACACTTCCCTTCTAAGCCAGGGAGACAAAAACGAAGTGAAAATAGGCATACTTATACGCTATTAAACAGGGAAGCACCACTGACACAAAAACATTATGAGTTCTATAATATAGTTTTTGTATGAATCAGTCGTTCCTGGTACAGGTAACCGCCTTTGCCATTCAGCTCGGGAACGCAGCTAGGGTTATGGGCACCTTTGAGCCGAGAGCGACCAGGATATGTAATATAATCTTGTTTGAATTGAACTGTTATGCGTTACAATAATATGTATAAATAAACGTGAAAATTACTAAGCTTAAAGAGAATAATAAGAATATTGTTGATAAACAGGTGTTTGACATAAAATGACGTCCAAATTCTGCCGGTTTTTTTTTTGTTTTCTTTATAAAGACAACTCCCGCATTAGGAATAAATCCTGTGTCGCGGGGGACTTTACAAACATACATGAAACGGACACAAAGAACACCCAGACTCAGAACAACAATTTGTGGATCACACAAAGTGTCGTCCCATGTGGGGTTTGAACCCACAACACTCGGCGCAGTAGGAAGCGGCGTGGCGACCGCTTAAACCACTACGCCATCCGTGCAGTCTATTTGTACAGTATTGTACAAATATTTCAAGGAATTTAAGTTAAATTCATTAAAAAAAAACATTTCAAAATTAGTTAGTAAAACCATGCAATGCCAATTCTAAGTGAGCTATATTTGATTTCTATAATATAAAGCAGATTATATTCATCAACAGCCTTTAATAGTCCACTGCTGGACATAGGCCTCTCCTTAGAAAGGAGGTTTTGGCCTACTATACCACGCTGTCCAGACGCGTTGGTATAGGGTTTGTTTCAGTTTTCCTTATCCCTGCAGTGCTGTTTGTCCTGTGTAGTTTGCTTCCTTAGTCGGCTCTTACGACACCCACGGGATGAATAGGGGTGGTGACACTCTGTATTCTTAATCCGTCACCACACGGATAGCAGTTTATATTGGGGACGCTTAATATTTATACGTAGAAGAACACGAAGCTAACATTTTAAAGTAATATATGTTATACTTCTATATTTATACCTGTATGAGCTCAAAAATAAATGTTTCTTTCTTATAAAGTTAATAATTATGTAAAAACATACAACTATAGTTGTCCAGCATATATTTTGATCGGTTATGGTACAATAATAATAACCTGACACATCTCATTCACGGCCGTTTGATTTCAACTTAGACAGAGTCTGTACTTAGGCTGATAGGCAGAAGAGAAGCAGCTGGCCTAGTTACAGTTGGGGGGGCCTCAAAACATATGGCCCGGGTTCTCCCCAGAGAAGGGCGCCTAAGGCTGGCATCACATACTCCTGGCTCCTATATTTCCAAGGAGCCGGAGATCCGAAGGGATTTTCCACTCCGTCCAAAAAAAAAAAGGGGGAGCCTGTAGATAAATTACACCCGTACATTATATAGTATTTGTCTTGAGTGGTAATCGTACCTACGACCGCCGGTTTAGCAGTCAGTATCGCTAACCACTAGAGCAGCAGGCCAGTCAACGTTGTAATCATTCATCATCAACAGCCTTTTGGTAGTCCACTGCTGGACATTGGCATCTCCTTAGAAAGGAGGTTTTGGCCTACCTACTATACCAAGATGGCCAGACGGGTTGGTACAGGGTTTGTTTCAAGTTTTCCTTCTCTTTGCGGTGCTGTTGTCCTACGTAGTTTAGTGAGCTCTTACGACACACAGTATGAATAGGGGTAGTGAGACGGATCACGATTCCCTCCTGTTCATTTACAGGCCTGAGTCACCTACCTCCATGTCGATCCTGTGTTTGGAGTCGCAACTACAATTTAGTAGTAATTTTTATTTCATATTCCCTTTTTCAGTAAACTCTAAAGACTGTTGACTGCACGGATGAGTTTAAGTGGTCACCCCTCCACTTCCTACTGCGCTGAGTGTTGTGGTTTCGATCTCTACATGGAACAAGGCTGTGTGATCCACAAATTGTTGTTCGAGTTTGGGTGTTCTTTGGGTCCGTTTCATGTATGTGTGTAAAGTCCCCCACGACACAGGATATATTCCTAGTGCAGGTTTTTTTAAATAAAAAAAGGTACTGGATTAAGTAATATGGAACTCTAAAAACTGATTTGGTAACTAAACGTAGTTATATCAATAAATAAACACACGAAACGCAATATCCAATTGTCCTTGGGTTAAAATATTATCTGTTTATCAAATTACTATATCTAAATGTTGTATTATAGTTATTTTATATCGTAACTAGCAATTGCTCGCGGCTTCGCCTTAGATTATTCCAGCTTTCATGTTTCTAACTTTGAAAATTACCAACTTCCATACAGCCGTTCGTCCCTTTATTTACCCCTTTAGGGGTGAAATTTATTATTTTAGTATTAGTTACGTAATAGTTGTGTTACGTATAAACACTTGTTATAAGGATGACTGAGAATTTATTAGGAAGTATCATTGTTGTACTTTTAAAAACTCAATAAGTCGATAAGCGCGCAGTAATTTGGCTATGGGGGTATGAGGTATCGGTTCATTTTAGAAATGGGGTCTCTTGCAAAACATAGTTTGGGAATCCCTGGTTTCAGGAATTGAGGTAAACAGTTGTTGATGAACCTTAAATAAATAAAATTACCCAAGGCAAAACAACCCCCCCCCATTTTAGGAGGAGGAGGCACTCAAAAAGCGGCTGCAAAACTGTCTCCTGAGCTGCATATGTGTGTGAATGAGCGTCAGTGGCCACCATCGTTTCTTACGGAACATAGGCTATCTACTACTGGTTTTTAAGGCTTACCTGTTTACTTCTGTTGGTGGCGTTGTTGGACCTGCCCTGGCGCAGCACATCGCGGTGGCGTGCTATCAGCTCGAGCACCGTTCTCTTCTCCAGTTCGGTGAAGTTCTTGGAGCGTTCTTTGTGGCCGCGTCGCGCGCGGAATGATGATGCTGAGCTGCGTGTTGACATATCACTCTATGGACAATGAAAGGTGGAGTTTTAGCAGGAGTTTCAGTGTGGACAGATGGAAGGCCAGGTGTTTTTAACATTCAACAGAAGCAACACACGGGGAGTTTCTCTGACTAGGTTAAGTGATCACGCTTTGCAGATCCAAGCTCATTGGCTGATATTATGTGTACTGAGTTTTGTTCTGTCCTCACACGGCAGGTCTTCGACCAGGCTAAGTCATTATGTGGAGCAAGGCCCAACGGTTTAAGTTCAAGAAATTTTTATTTATACATTGTAAACATCTTTTAATAGTGGTAATACTATGGATGCTTAAACCGCTGAACCGATTTAGATGGAGATACCTAGTATGATACTTGAGAAAGGACATTTGCTCGCGATAACCAACATACACGCGGGCAGAGCCGCGGGCAAAAGCTAGTCTGTACAAATAAAGAAAATTGAATTGTCTGTTTGTAATGTTACAATAATAGTATTTTTTCATGTTCACACGGTTATTTGCAGGATCATATGCCTAAGAACCAGTTTTTTTTGTCTGTCTGTCTGTCGGTTTGTTCCGGGTGATCTCTTAAACGGCTAGACCGATTCAGATAATATTTTTCTACCAGGCAGCTGTCTATATGAGGCGTAACTTAGGCGTAACTTTTCCTCTCAGAAAAACCCTCTAAAATTTAAATATTAATATAACTATCTGTTGCCTCTTCGAGCTGAATCGATTCAGATGTAATTTGGTATAAAAGATAGTTCGAGTCCCGGGAAAAGACAGGATAGTTTTCATTCCAGAAATCGTCCTCTAAGGGGGTGAAAAGGAGGATGGTAGATAGTATGAGGAATCAATAACCGCTGAACCGAGATAGTTTGATTTTAGGGAAAGGTCATAGGCTACCCTTTTACCGTGATAACCGACAAGCGGAGCCACGGGAAGAAGCTAGTTTAAAATACCTCGGACTTGTAACAACGATTACAAAAGAGATAATGATCATATTATTACAAGGTTAATTTATAGCTAAGAACGATCTTGAGGAATTTACATTAAAAAAATCGATTTAAAATCGATCCATCGGTTTAGGAGATAGTTGACCGTGGGAGAGTCAGTCATACCGTAGTGAAACCACAGCCACAGAAAACCGGTGCTTAGTCATTTCTTCTTTGCTCCTTATTGGGATTGGAGGAGCGAGGAGGGGGGGGGGGCAGAGGCCTTATTAAGGACTCACCATCTAGTGAACATTCTACTAGATTGCCCCCTAAGCTATATCAGGTGGATCGAGAGATCAGGAGATCGTGTCCTGAATGTAAGAAATGTTTAAAATTATATTATTTTTTATTATAAACATCCGTGTGGTGATGAAATAACGATACAGAGTGTCACCATCCCTAATCATCCTGTGGGTATCGTAAGAGCCGACTAAGGGAGTAAACTACGCAGGACAACAGCACTGCAAAGAGAAGGAAATCTTGAAACAGACCCTATACCAACCCGTCTGGCCATCTTGGTATAGTAGACCAAAACCTCCTTTCTAAGGAGAGGCTTGTGTTCTATGTCCAGCCGTGGACTAGCAAAGGCTGTTGATGAAATATGTGACTGTCATTACCTTAAATTATGTGTAATAACTTAAAAAGTTGATCAAATGTTTTCGGTTACACCTACACAAAAATACGTTAAAGAAAACTGGTAATAAATGAGTTTAATCGAAACTGGTTCAGCTATTTATGCGATAAGATTTAATTACAATTATGTGTAAATTTACTAAAAGATTTATTTATCCTAAATTGATTTCGTAACGTTAGTTATTTAGTCTCGAATAATCATAAAGAAACTGTTAATATTGTTTATTTAAAAGAATATAAGAATTCTGAGACATTTACTTAAATAGAAACTAAAGCATATATCGATACATAAAAAAATAGACAAATAACACGTTTCAATTATTTGTAGTAAGCTCGAATCGAATACTTGACTTCGGAGTCAACTCTTGTATCTATACTAATATTATAAAGCTGAAGAGTTTGTTTGTTTGTTTGTTTGAACGCGCTAATCTCAGGAACTACTGGTCCGATTTGAAAAATTATTTCAGTGTTATATAGCCCATTTATCGAGGAAGGCTATAGGCTATATATCATCACGCTAAGACAATAGGAGCGGAGCACCAATGAAGAATGTTTCAAAAACTGAGAAAATTTATTACTATTGAGAGACGCAGACGAAGTTGCGCGGGTCAGCTAGCTACACAGGAGTATGTTTTCGAAAATTGGGAGATCGCCTCGGAGAGCACGTTAAGTCGTTGATCCCTGTCGTCATATGAACATCTGTGGGAATCGTTGGAGTTGCAGCCCTAAATAAGTCCGACAGCAATCTTTCTACAGAACTTCGATATCGCCTATTACTTGGGTTGTGGAGGTGTGATAGCAGTTGCTCTGCGTTCAAAATCGAAGTTCAGCAGTATCGTAGTAGACTAAAATCTGACCACAACCTAGTTTTGGAAAAAGGCTCGGAGGAAAGAAGGAAGAGGGGGAAAATCATCATCTTTCCAGTTTTGGATGCTTTCTTCTATAAAACAAAATAGCCGGCCGCATGTCTGGCGCCAATCCTCCTTGAGAATGAAGGCGTTCTTCCCGGTATGTACATCTTGTAAATCGAACTCACGACCTGTTTCCAGCTGTCAGGATTACCAACCAATAATCTAACTTTCTAACCAACAATCTAACTAAAATAAAATGGCCGGCCGCATGTCTGGCGCCAATCCTCCTTGAGAATGAAGGCGTTCTTCCCGGTATGTACATCTTGTAAATCGAACTCACGACCTGTTTCCAGCTGTCAGGATTACCAACCAATAATCTAACTTTCTAACCAACAATCTAACTAAAATAAAATGGCCGGCCGCATGTCTGGCGCCAATCCTCCTTGAGAATGAAGGCGTTCTTCCCGGTATGTACATCTTGTAAATCGAACTCACGACCTGTTTCCAGCTGTCAGGATTACCAACCAATAATCTAACTTTCTAACCAACAATCTAACTAAAATAAAATGGCCGGCCGCATGTCTGGCGCCAATCCTCCTTGAGAATGAAGGCGTTCTTCCCGGTATGTACATCTTGTAAATCGAACTCACGACCTGTTTCCAGCTGTCAGGATTACCAACCAATAATCTAACTTTCTAACCAACAATCTAACTAAAATAAAATGGCCGGCCGCATGTCTGGCGCCAATCCTCCTTGAGAATGAAGGCGTTCTTCCCGGTATGTACATCTTGTAAATCGAACTCACGACCTGTTTCCAGCTGTCAGGATTACCAACCAATAATCTAACTTTCTAACCAACAATCTAACTGAAATAAAATGGCCGGCCGCATGTCTGGCGCCAATCCTCCTTGAGAATGAAGGCGTTCTTCCCGGTATGTACATCTTGTAAATCGAACTCACGACCTGTTTCCAGCTGTCAGGATTACCAACCAATAATCTAACTTTCTAACCAACAATCTAACTAAAATAAAATGGCCGGCCGCATGTCTGGCGCCAATCCTCCTTGAGAATGAAGGCGTTCTTCCCGGTATGTACATCTTGTAAATCGAACTCACGACCTGTTTCCAGCTGTCAGGATTACCAACCAATAATCTAACTTTCTAACCAACAATCTAACTAAAATAAAATGGCCGGCCGCATGTCTGGCGCCAATCCTCCTTGAGAATGAAGGCGTTCTTCCCGGTATGTACATCTTGTAAATCGAACTCACGACCTGTTTCCAGCTGTCAGGATTACCAACCAATAATCTAACTTTCTAACCAACAATCTAACTAAAATAAAATGGCCGGCCGCATGTCTGGCGCCAATCCTCCTTGAGAATGAAGGCGTTCTTCCCGGTATGTACATCTTGTAAATCGAACTCACGACCTGTTTCCAGCTGTCAGGATTACCAACCAATAATCTAACTTTCTAACCAACAATCTAACTAAAATAAAATGGCCGGCCGCATGTCTGGCGCCAATCCTCCTTGAGAATGAAGGCGTTCTTCCCGGTATGTACATCTTGTAAATCGAACTCACGACCTGTTTCCAGCTGTCAGGATTACCAACCAATAATCTAACTTTCTAACCAACAATCTAACTAAAATAAAATGGCCGGCCGCATGTCTGGCGCCAATCCTCCTTGAGAATGAAGGCGTTCTTCCCGGTATGTACATCTTGTAAATCGAACTCACGACCTGTTTCCAGCTGTCAGGATTACCAACCAATAATCTAACTTTCTAACCAACAATCTAACTAAAATAAAATGGCCGGCCGCATGTCTGGCGCCAATCCTCCTTGAGAATGAAGGCGTTCTTCCCGGTATGTACATCTTGTAAATCGAACTCACGACCTGTTTCCAGCTGTCAGGATTACCAACCAATAATCTAACTTTCTAACCAACAATCTAACTAAAATAAAATGGCCGGCCGCATGTCTGGCGCCAATCCTCCTTGAGAATGAAGGCGTTCTTCCCGGTATGTACATCTTGTAAATCGAACTCACGACCTGTTTCCAGCTGTCAGGATTACCAACCAATAATCTAACTTTCTAACCAACAATCTAACTAAAATAAAATGGCCGGCCGCATGTCTGGCGCCAATCCTCCTTGAGAATGAAGGCGTTCTTCCCGGTATGTACATCTTGTAAATCGAACTCACGACCTCTGTTTCCAGCTGTCAGGATTACCAACCAATAATCTAACTTTCTAACCAACAATCTAACTAAAATAAAATGGCCGGCCGCATGTCTGGCGCCAATCCTCCTTGAGAATGAAGGCGTTCTTCCCGGTATGTACATCTTGTAAATCGAACTCACGACCTCTGTTTCCAGCTGTCAGGATTACCAACCAATAGTCAAGAGAGCGTGGTATAGTAGGCCAAAACCTCCTTTCTAAGGAGAGGCTTATGTCCAGCAGTGGACTATTAAAGGCTGTTGATGATGAATCAAGAGGCCCGTCATAACACAATTATACAGTACTTATTTTATGCAGTGATAATTAGAATCGATT